TAAATTTCTAACCTTCAAAAGCAACACATTAATTTGCGGGTGTCGATGGGCGGCGCCGACTGCTTACTATCAGGCATTTCGTGTGCTCTGCAAAAAAACATGACGTCACAAATAAATAGAATCGTGCGCAACTAATACGAATAATTGTAATCTCTATTTAGCCGTTATCTGCGATTTAATGTGACGTTTGTTTAGATTACTAATATCAGGTACTTACGTATAGGTATTGTTAATTAATTTCACATGATATCAAGCGTGAGGTTTTATGAAGGGCGATGGAAAGACCTGATCGCCTGATCAAACTGGTCGAAAGTGATCAAGAAATCCTGCCTGTGGCAACGCACTTAATAAAATGTCCCGTCGCAATTTTGGTAGGACTTGTCACGTCATTTGTGGAATGCCTATTGATTGACAAGTTCTTTTTTCTTTCTTGTTTTAGTTATACCTAACGAGCAGACGCATTACCTGATGGGAAACAATCGCCGCTGCTCATGGACAACCGTAACACCAAGAGTAACGAGTGCGTTGCCGGCCTTTTAGGTATAAGGGTTTCGGATATTTTAAGATTGGGAAGTGTTGGGCGAAGGATTGGGCCTCCGGTAACCCCTCACGCACACTGCGAAACACAACGCTTAGGTTGTTTCATGCTGGTTTTCTATGAGGCCATGGTATCACGCCAGTTGAGCCGACTCATTTGTACCGAAGCTTTGGTCTCCTACACTTAAAAGTTAATAGTTAATTTAGTAGGTAGGTGATTGTGTGTGTGAGGGTTTATATCTTACCAAAGCTTGGCTTTTCACACTTTAAGGGCAGGTTACAGTAAATACTGTAACTAGGTACAGCCAAAACCACTATCTTCCCTTGTAGATACACACCCACTGTTATTCATTGGCCACGGAAAAATACAATCGCTATCTGTTGCTATCTGTACCTACAACGTTGAAAATTAATGTAAAAATATAATAATATTATTAATTTGTAATCCTATTCGGTATTTATTTATTAAAAGATAATAAATAAGTCATCACCGGAAATTTTATGAATTATTCATAGTTTTCTGTTTACCTATATTGGCTTTTATTGCAATAACAAAAAGTTTAAAGTTTAATGATGAAGTGTTGATACCTTTTTTTTCTTTTTTTTTCGAACAACCTGTTCTCTGCTTTGTACAATAATATAAGTACAATAATAATAAAGTAACGAACTATCTCCTTTTTTAAAAAAAATATCGAAACTGAAGTCCGTCGAGGCTCTCACACATAAAAACATCTGTCTTGGATTTAGCAAATACATATATTAGAAAATGTCATCAAAGGTGAAAAGTAAGAAATTAGTCCCAATTATCATTCACCAGTATTTATTATTTCACCAGAGTCTGTCTTTTTTATATTATCGCTCGGAAAGCTAGCAGACCGATTACCTGATGGTAAGTATTCGCCGTCGCCCGTAGAAACCCGCAACACCAGAGAAGTTACAAGTGCATTACTGGCCTTTTGGGATTAGGATTCCAGAGATCTTGGGATAGGGGACGGTGAAGGATTGGGCCTCACTCACGGAACGAAACACAACGTGAGTGTTGCTTTATGTTTGTATTCTGTGAGGCTATGATATCACTTCGGTCGAGCCGACCCAGTCGTGCCCAAGCTTGGATCCCCCAATACATGAGAGAAATCTAGGGACTGTTTAGCAATAAAATACCAAATAAAATATAGGTATGTATGACTAATTATTGTTTATCCCTTCATAGAAAAACTAGTTGTTCGTAGAAAAACAACTTAGTAAAACATAATAATCGGTAAACATATTCAATTTACTGGTGCGTAATTTTTGCGCCATCATGCGGATTATTGCCACGTGCTTGACAGTTAATGAGTTTATTACATATTGATCTCTGATAATATAACTTTTAATCTAATTAAGCCTTATTTGTAATGGATTAAAACACTTTTTCGATAATTAAAGGGTACGGAGTAGAGAGCACGTAACTAACCGGCCAGTGATAACAAAATATTAGTTAAATGTTAGTTTTTATTCCGCGACAAAATCCAGACTTGTTGCAGGATGCAATCCCTCTCCTATGCAATCATACATATGCACATGCAGCGCGTCGAGTCAACATCTTGATTTTGTCACGGAATAAAAACAAATTTTTTTTCCTAATATTTAATGTCATGGATTCCCGCAAATTAACGCCTGATTCTATAATTAAAAATAAAAATTAAATATTAGTTGTCGACGTGGCTTATTCCAGCAGCCATTTTTAAAATTGACAACTCTGTTTAAAACAATTTAGGAATGGAAGCCAAGCGACAGAGTATTCAACCATAATATTGGAAGTTTTTTTATTTGATAGGTCGGCAAACGAGCTTCCGGATTAGCTGATGGAAAGCAACGCCCGTGGACACTAATAATAACGGAAAAGTTACAAGCGCATTGCTGACCTTTTTGGAAATTATTGTTTTGGAGATTTTGGGATTTGGGGAGAGGAAGGATTGGGGCCTCCGGTAACCTCCCTCACACGGCGAAACACAACGCTGTGGTTGTTTCACGCCGGGTTCTGTGAGCCTGTAGTATCATTCCAATCGAGCTGATCCATTAATGCCAAAGCATGGCTCTCCCGCATATAAAAACTAATTAAACTACTCAATTCTTGGGCAATATACTTAATATAGGCACATAAAGGCATGTAGCGTGTCGCTACATGCCAGCGACCTTTTCCGGGGGGCCATTAATTGAGTTTGCCAGTCACCCTCTGCTTGTTTATCCGTATGTATCAATATTGGTCAGAGGCCATAGAATTTTCATAGATCATGTCCGTAGCCATAACCTTGTAATTTTTTTTCGCATTATACAATAGTCCTGGATCAATCGATTATAGTCCTTGGGTGCACTTCCATATCGTATTTAAGGATTACTACCGGCCGATGTCCCATCACACATCAGGGGGAGGCGTTGGACGATGGACGTCTTCCGGCTGATGATGACGATGATGATGTCCCATCACATTTAAAATTGTTCAACGTCTCTGCGATTTGGCTTCGGCCCCTCGTACGTCTTCTAAAGGGCGGGATCCTGTGGTTCCGTGAAAGGAAAAAACACAAATTGTATACAATACTGGCTGAGTGTCAAGCTCCAGGCGCACTGGTAATCTAACCTAAGTTGATTTTTAATGAAATTAAATAAATATATGCATGTTAAGACTGTAATAGGCTCTGGTACGTGGGCGACACATTATCGACGTCACATAAAGCGGTGGAACCGGTCCGGCGGTAAACTAATGACTGCCATATTCCCACATATAAAGTAGAAAAGGTGTTTCATTATCTACTAGCGCTGATGGTAAGCAAAAACAGGATTACACACGACGATGGTAACGTACCGTTGAAAGTCAAAACAATTATCTATAAACAATAGGTATGATTATAAAAGTTAATCAATAAAACTCATTAGGTATAACTGATACTTATCGTTGTCGCCTTTTTGTTTGTGGGGGGGAAATTATGAAATGGATTCTTCCGCTCTAGGTGGGATGTGAGGGTGTCCGACTTTTACTGACTATAAATCACCCAGTTAATTTTTTTGCTCCGGACTGGGTCAGGAGAAGGCACTTCTTTTAAAAGTCTAAAGGTTCTTTGAGGCGCGTTTTGCACGGACGCGCCTTACGGTGACCGGAGATTGTCACGCAATCTCCAACGCCCAGAGTGTCTCCTGCGTCGGAGTCTGCTCCTTGTTTGAAAGCCTGACTAATTCGCAAAAGCAGGAAAGATATTCAAAATATCTCTCACTTCAAGGCCCGGCGCAAGACTTCGTTGCTGCTGACTTTTCTGAGGACACGTTAGTGCTCAGCCCAAGCAGGGCACACCGCCCCCGTATGCGTCACAGTGCCCTCTATTTGACCCTCGCAGTAATCGTGGTCGCCCTAAAGGCTAAGTGTGGTTTCGAGCCCTGGCAACTTCATTTCAATGTGGCATTTTCCTAGTTATGTGTACTTAGACTAGAGGACTAGGAGTACCGGACTCTTACTGTTTTAAGAACCACCATGTTATTTACATTATATACTGCGAATGCTGCCTTGCAACCTCATTTGTGGACACACTTTTTTTCGTTTAGGGATTGAACTCGTTAAAGCTGTACCAGTAATCAATAGTCCAGCCTAAGCAACTACAATGCAGTCACATATTACATAGAATTAAAACTATGAATAAAACTGTAAAGTTTATAAAAAAAGACAATATTAATAAAAACCTAGCATAGTAACAAAGCAAACCTAGCATAGTAATTATACACGTAGTAATACGGCACGTCGAATATTAGTGTCAAAAATAATATTAAAGTAATAAATAAGTGAAGCCCTGTTTTGGCAGGAATGGGCCGGTTCGACCAGAGAGATACCACGTCCTTTTAGAAAAACCAAACCCCATCCTTAATCCATTACCTCTCTACCCACAAGAGGCCCGCAATGCACAACACAAACATCAGGTAATCCGTCTGCACGGATACCAACCTTGCTAACATAAAAAAACAAACCACTATTCCACAAACACCACGTGATTTACGAAGACCTTATAGCAGCGTCACAGCAAACGCTCGTCAGTCAAAGCTTGCGTTATTTTGTCGGATTTGATCTCACCCACTTTCTCCTAATCCCCAGTCCTCAAATTCCAATCTTGCTTACCATCAGGTGATTGTCATCAGCATCAACTTGAAAACGTCCACTGCTGAACAAAGACCTCTCCTTACCATTCTCCGCATATCCTCATCAGGCGATTAATCAAGACGTTTTTCCGCCCTATCAGTCTATAAAAAAAGTAAAAATTCCAACATTGAACCCCATCCTTGACCACACGCAACCCCAAATCCGGTGGAAACCAAACTTTTATCGACAATAACGTAAAATACGGATTAAAATTAAAATAATAATCATATTTTATCTTAAGCCCTTCCGAATCAATGATAAGTGGGTGTTATCTTTACAGAATTCTTATAAAACTAAGATATTTCTGTAACATGTCATTCATTCAAGATGAAACTTATAGTGTTGCTCGCCTTATTTGCTTTGGCTAGAGCCAAACATGAAGAATATATTGGGTTAGTACTTTCCATTTTTTTTTTATTAAATTCTTAAGTGAATTAATTTTAAAAATGATTGATCAATCGTTTTTGTTTGAATAATTAAATTACTTATCAATCGTTTTTAAAATATTCGTTTCAATTTATTTTAATTTAACTGTTTCCGAAAAGCCAATTTTGATTATAATATTCACATTGAATTTACGCTAATATACCTTTAATTTATAATTTTTAATATTTATTTTTTTATTTTATGTATTGTTTATATAGAAATGTAATAATATGTATGAGCATTTTATATATCGGAGAATCCAATGCCAAAAATGTGTTGTGACATTCATCCAATTTTTTATAATAAGTAATAATTAAATTTCATTGGCTCACATACTCCTTAAAATTCCTATTAACTGAAGTAAAGTGCACTTACGCCTTTTTTAAAGAAGGAAAAAGAACCTCTGGCTACTCCCGTCCTAGACGAGGCAAGAGGAAAGGCAGTAAACGCCATCATTAGGTCATACTAATTTCAGTATCAGCTTAAAAAACCTATAATCTATCTCAGTGCCAAATTTAATTAAGACCTATTCAGTAGTTTTAGACTGTTTTGTTTTTTTTATGTCATCGGTCGTCAAACGAGTAGACGAATTACCTGATGGTAAGCAATTAGCGCCGACCATGGGCACTCGTTATACCAAAGAAGTGTGTTGCCGGCTTCTTGTGGGTTATTGGGGTTTAAGGATAGGGGATTTGAAGATTGAGGATGAGGGGGAAGAATTGGGTCTCCGGTTGAATAGTAACAAACAAACGTATATAGGTACCTACAAGCTTTCCCGTTTATCTATTTAAATAAAAATCAATGTCACTTTTCATTGTAATGTTATAACTCAACAATGCCTTTACAGATTATGCAAATTTTATATTTCTTTTGTAAGGCCAGAGACGGTTTGTTAGTAGAGCATATTAAAAAATAATCTTCGAAATGTGTAAAATCGACATGCACGCAGGCGGAGCCGCGGGCTACAGCTAGTAATATTATAGAATAACATTGTACATTCTTAAATTGCAGATGGAAATCTTATTACGTGGATTTGGCTGACAAAATCCAATCCCAGGCATTTGGATCCATAGTGGACAAATATGAGTTGGATGTCTTAAGCCATCCAATTATTGGTCGTGAAGGTTTACTCCTGGTGAAGCCCGAACATCATGATGACTTCATCCAAGATGTGACAGCTGAAGGGATTGCGTTCAGAATACATGCAGATGATGTAAAAAGGTAATATTAGTTTTTGACGCAGTATAATCCATTTTGTTTTTCACCAGTATTCGTCAAAATCTGGTTATTTAGTACTTCCCTGTTATTTTTTAAATCGTTGCCCTACACTATGCTTTTCTCCTGTGTCGTGGGTGCGTTTATAAACATACAAATTCACAAACACATCACTCCCAGACCCGGAACAACAATTTGTGAATCACACAAAGAGTTGTTCTGTGCGGGAATCGAATCGAACCCGCGACACGTTGCACGGCAGTGTGTTGCCCAGCCACCGCGCCAACCGTGCAGTCAAATATATTTCAATTAATTTTTTATTTTGAAAAATATTCCTTAAAAATAGTCTTAAAAACATTTTAATAAATGTTATTTTGTAATGTATATCCAAAAGTCGGAGAGCTAATAGCTAAGAAACATTTTTTGTAGCAGATTTTATATTGTGACTTCACATAACTGTCATATTATTACACCTTTTCTTAGAAAAAAACTTAAGTACACAAATATGTAAAATGACTGAATGTTTGATATTTATTTAAATATTTCATTACATTGGAAAGACCTTATAATCTGTATGTATATTATTAAGGGCCTGTTACTTACATCACATTACTCATTATACACAACATCTATTCTATAAGTGCCAACTGCTGAGCAAAGGCCTATTCTCACACAAAGAAGGTTTGAGCATTTAACGCAAAGCTTACAAAAGGCGGATCGGTCATTTAAAACTTATAATTATAAAGTAAAAGTTCAGGTTTCCTTACGATGTTTTCCTTCACCGTTTACTACAACGCTTCCACAACATTAACATAGATTATAATTAATAAGTTGTCGATAAAGTTATGAGGCATTTGGTTCATACTAAGTAATTACATTCTATATTCAAATTAATCTATCGTGTTGGCCTGGTTGTAATCGCCTGATTTTTATGCATGAGCTCTCTGGGTCTGTCTCTGGATTCGAAACCTGGCATAGTACCAATATGATTTTTTTCCGAGTTCAATTCCGACTTCACTGACATATGGTGAATGAAAACATCGTAAGGAAACCTGGCCATATAATTTCTTATTATAAGTTTGAAATCACGAATCTCCCTTGAGCAAGCGTGGTGATTAATGCTCAAACCTTCTCCGTTTGAGAAGAGGCCTTTATTAAGCAGTGGGCGCTTGTAGGCTAATGATGATGTGATACTGGTGAACGTGAACTGGTATAATTACGCGGGTATTAACGCGAAAAATAATTATTTAAATACCTTGGTAGGGTTGACGTTTAGCTCGTTTGCAATTGGGTAGTTTCCTAGGTCAAACATAAATTAATTCGACGTTTCAATACAATAAAATATTGAAAAAGGCTTATACTTTTATTCATCAATCGATCGACACACTAAGTTTTATTGGCTTATTATTAAGAAATAAGTAAGCTATTTGACGCAAAAATGTTATGAAGTCATAACTCAATTTTTCATACAAATTTCATAGAAAAGTATCGTTTTTGACGTTTGGATAAAAGTATTAAATTTGACTCGTTGGAGACTACCGTATTATTTTGCTTTTTAAATTATATATTTAATTAATTTCAGCCAATTGGACTACGACGATATGATGATTGAACTGCAGAATACAGCCTCGAAGGCCAGGAATGGAGGACGTCAACTTCCTTACGACAATTACCAAGAAATTGAAGCTGTAAGTAACATCTTGCTACTGATACATTATGACTACCTCGTTAATACATTGGTCGCAAAGGTGTTTGCCGAGCAAAGGGACTTGGGTTCGATTCCCGGGTCGAGTTAATAAAGTATTATTTTTCTTATTAGTATCCCCATGATACTAATAAGAAAAATTTCGATGAATTCAATCAGTTAAAGTCTGAAATTCTGCCAATACTTGGCACCCATTACAAAGGACTCATATAATACAACTGGATCAAACGCAGTGGTTGTGGAGCGTGACTTCGAAGAGAATGTGGTGGCCCAATCCTTCCCCTTCCCCAATCCCTAAAACTCCAAATCCCTAATCCCTAAAAGGTCTGCAAGTCACACGTAACTCCTCCGTTGCGAGTGGAGTGGGCGGCGCTGATTGCTTACCATCAGGGTAATCCGTATGCTCGTTTGCCGACCAATTATATAAAAAAAAAAATCGCGTGAAACAATAACGACGAACTTATACCAAATCCCTAATTCCAAAATGCTGGCAACGCAACTAAGCAACGTCTCGATATTATGGATGTCTATGAGCCGCGGGAACTGCTCATCAGTTGTTCCACCACAACATTAAGCTGTTATATTCCAAAAAAAAAACATAAAAGTCTATAGACAAACTGTTTCGTCATCGTCAGCTCTTAACGATTTTAATACAGAACATAAGAATGTTTTCTTAAAAGTCATCAATTTGTCTAACGTCATTGAATCTATCACAGAACTAGAGTAGTAAGTAGCCACTTCAGATCTCCACGCACTCTGATAAGATTAGATCACCATATTGTTGTGTTTATCAATAACTAAATATAGGTATATTCTTGCTCGTGCCCTCGAAAATTAATCAAGATCAATACTTTTTTCGAAATGTTCAAAATCTTAAATTTTGTACGGATTATGTGTTGAAAAAACACAAATTTTGTTTTGATAAAGTGTAATGATATCGTCAAATAAATAAAAAAGTGTGGTTTATATAATAAAATTCAAAATCAAAGTAACAAGTAATGAATTTACACAGCCGTAAGAAATACTCCATAAGTAAACTAGAATAAAAAAAAAATTTTTTAAATCGGATCGTTAATTTTGGTCGCCGTTTCAAGCTAATGAGCAAACAAACAGATAAATTTTTACATTTTACTGCTTATACCATTAGTTCAGATTACGTCTAGCGACAATATCAGTAGCCCTGTACTGGATGTGGCTGATACAGATTACAGAGCTCACGAGTTTGTTCCTTTGCTAGAATGAATAGTGAATAACCTAATTTCATCATAAGCATCATCAGCCTATAAGTGCTCACTGCTGAGCAAAGGCTTCTCACACGGAGAAGGTTTGAGCATTAATCACCACGCTTGCTCAATGCGGGTTGGCGATTTCAAACTTATAATTAGAAATTATAAGTCCAGATTTCCTCACGATGTTTACCTTCACCGTATGTCAGTGGTGTCTATATAATCATGGAAAGTACATAAGACTCGGAAAAAGTCACATTGGTACTTGCCAGGTTTCGAACTCCCGCCCTCCGGGCCACCGACCACGACCTAATTTAATGGAATCAACTGGAAATATCCCAATAGAATTTTCTCAAGCTCTTTTTTATATAGATTGACATAAATATGCCAAATAAAATTTTTTGCCTGTTTTCAGATCAATGATTACATAGACAGTATCGGCAGGCAATACCCTAACATTGCTACTGTAGTGAACGCTGCTAATTCCTTCGAAGGTCGTCCCATCAAGTACGTCAAGATCTCCTCCACAAATTTCGAAGATGAGAGCAAGCCTGTCATCTTCATTGACGGAGGCATTCACGCCAGGGAATGGATCTCCCCCCCAACCGTTACCTGGGCAATCCATAAACTGGTTGAAGACCTAACCGAGAGAGACCTCTTGGATAAGTTCGACTGGATTCTCTTGCCTGTTGTCAACCCTGACGGATACAAATTTACATTTACCAATGTAAGTAGATATGATTATTTTTCTATACTTGAACCAGGGACTTCGCTAGCTCTTAGTTGTTTATTTCACTTAAAATAATTTAATATTATTAGTAGTTACTGCGTTGCAAATAAGAACCATTGAAATCTGAAAAAAATTGATTCATGTTCAATGGCAAGAGATCTTACAAATCACAGTTCAACTTGACACCTGTTTATCCATCTAGACAGATAAAAGATTATGTACACTGAGAACACGCAGATTCTGATCTTTTTTATTTTTGAAGACCATCAACGAATTTATTTGAAATACGCTTTTTATATTGCAGACTCGTTTTTGGCGTAAAACCCGTTCCACTGACCAGGCAGGTCTTAGCGGAATTTGCCCAGGTGTTGATGGCAACCGGAACTACGACTTCTTCTGGAATTCTGTCGGTACCAGCAACTCTGCTTGCTCCGACATTTTCGCTGGATCCAGAGCCTTTTCTGAAGTCGAAACTCGTGTGGTAAGGGACATCTTACATGAGCATCTTCACCGCATGGCCCTTTACATCACCATGCACAGTTTTGGCAGCATGATCTTGTACCCTTGGGGACATGATGGTTCCTTGTCCCACAACGCCCTTGGGCTTCACACTGTCGGCGTAGCAATGGCAAACGCCATCAACCAGAACTCCCTTCCTCATTTCCCGAGGTATGTGGTTGGTAATTCCGCGCTGGTCCTCAACTACCGCGCGTCTGGAGCGGCAGAAGATTACGCTCATTTCATTGGAGTGCCGTTGTCTTACACCTTCGAATTGCCTGGACTGTCAAGCACTATGCTGGGTTTCAACCTGAACCCTAGGTACATTCAGCAGGTATGTAATGAGACGTGGGAAGGCATTGTAGTTGGAGTTAGAAGAGCTGGTGATCTGTTCGAAAATAAAAGACTGTGAATTATTTATTAATCTTGTGGTTTTATTTTGCATCATTTATTATTGTTAACCTAATTAGCTGTTGTGTTGACCGTGATGTATAGCGTAGAATTCATAACACACTCCTATACTTTCCGCGGAATCCGCAAGAGCCATTTTCTCCTTTATCGAGACTGCTTTTAAAAAGTTGCAATCATACATACACATCACACCCAGACCCGAAACAACAATTAGTGGATCTCACAAAGAGTTGTTACCAGAGGTCCCTCTGCCATCCTCATGATCCTTCCCCTATACCTAATGACCCACTAAATGCCAGCAATGCCCTTGTAATAATTCTTTTGGAACAACAAGTACCTATCTATGCGCGGGGCCGTTTATTTACCTAATTTCACCATCAGGTGTCATGACTAAACTTCTTGTTTAGTTGTACTCCATCACATCGTCACAGAATACTGATATGTTCACTCCAATTACTATGACATTCATAAATTAATTTTATTTTTTAAAGCAGTAGTAGAGTTCAATTTACTTGAGCTCGTCCGGGGAAGTACTACCGCCATAGCTGTTTCTATCAGCATATACAATATAGCTGATAGATAAATTATGGTTGCCGGTACACTAGAACGCTTTATGTCAATTAAGCAAATTACCAAAATTACATAAGCGTTACCATAACTATCGTATACATAATGCTAGATCTCATGTGGTTTCACCCACTGCTCGGTTCCGTGACATCGTGATGTTTTATATAACATATTTTCATTACTATAACAACAAGCATTATTATACAATTCAAACTAAAACTTTTAAGCTTCGGCACGTATGGATCAGCTCGATCAGCCCAATCCCTCCCGCTCCCCTATCCCTTTTCAATCCTTAAATATCCGAAACCCTAATCCCTAAAAGGTCGGGAACGCACTCGTAACTCATGTGTGTGCGAGTGGATTGGCGTGGATTGCTTACCATCCGGTAATCCGTCGGCTCGTTTGCCGACCTATACCAAAAAAGGTTACACGTAATATGTATCTTAATCACAACTGAGAAAATCTCTGCTATTTTCAAGTCATAATGGGACCCTACATATGAGCAGCGTGACATAGGCTAAATCCACGTTTGAAAGATGAGCCTATTTGAACAAACCACCTCTTGAGCTTAATAGTATGGTAACATGTTGCACATATCATTTAGATTCCTTCACTTTCTATCCTGACTGGCGACTGCATTATCGGTGGTAAGAGACGCTTATTTTTTTCAAGTATATCTATGAATTCTCCCGCCCAGGCTACGGTGGGAGGGAGTGTCAGACTCTTACTGACTATAAACACCCCGTTCCTTCTCCTGCTCTAGGCCGAGGCCGCGGTGTAAACATCGGCTCTTTGAGGCGCGCGCGGAACGCTACGCGCTGTACGCTCGGGTCTGGTACTGGTCGGGCGGGCAGTGAGCTACCCTTACTCGCAGTCCACAGACCCGCAATGGTAAGCGACAATGCAGTTGCCATGTAAAGTCGCTATAGAAAAAAAAACATTTATTTTACCAAATGTCAAATAGAGCGCCATCTGTTTTAATAAACATACACCAAATCACTTTTGTTGAAATCGATTGAACTGATTAATGATTTATCATTTCTGTAGATTCTTTAATTTGTCACTAGATGGCATTATATGTTATTTTATTCTATTGAAGCAGTAGCAGTTTTAAAATGTAGAATCTTAACTAGGCGTTAAAAAATGAAAATATTATTTGTAGACCTTATGAACAATTTTCACTGTGTGTATTTTTCTGAACATATTGAACATAAGGGTATTGCAATTACACTGTTTCAATGAAACAAAATTGGGGAATACCACAGTACATGGGTGAATTTAATTATAAAATATACAACTGTTTTACTTAATAAATAAAACCCTATATTTATTCAGATACGTACAGGTTTGTCAAAATTGCAAAATTCACTTGCACATTTCCATTTCCAGTCATTTTAAACTTGTGCCATTTTATTAGCAACAAACAATTCTCCAGCTCTTCTTGCACCAACCGCAATACCAGCCCAGGTCTCTTCAACGACCTGTTTAATGAATCGTGGCTCCAAGTGGAAGCCTTGCGTGCCCCAACCGAAGCCAGGCAACTCATAAGTATAGGATAAAGGCACTCCAACATAATGCGCATAATCTTCCGATGACCCTGAAATGTAGGACCGAAGCACAAGAGCAGAGTTCCCAACTACATATCTTGGGAAGTTAGGAAGGGCCTTTTCATGGATAGCTGCAGCCATGTTGATACCCACGGTGTGCAGTCCAAGGGCATTATGGGATAAAGAACCATCATGACCCCAAGGATACAGGATCATACTACCATAACTGTGAATGGTAAGGTACAAAGCCATGCGAGCCAAATTTTCGTGGAGAATATCTCTAACAACCCTTGTTTCCACTTCTGAGAAGGCCTGCGTGCCAGGGTAGATGTCACTGCAAGGGTTCCAGGATGTACCGACGGTGTTCCAGAAGAAGTCGTAGTTGCGGTTACCATCAGTTCCAATACAATTTGGCGATGTTGGGTGGGTGGAACGAGTCTTACGCCACATTCGTTGCTAGAATCAGAAAATTAATATTATATAAAATTGACGCCAGATGATTTTCTCATAAATCTACTATAATTACTAATTGAGATAAAACTAAATGGCATGTAAGGGAAAAGATATGGCAATACTCACGTTGGTGAAAGTAAATTTGTATCCGTCAGGGTTGACCACAGGCAAGAGAATCCAGTCAAAGTTATCCAAAAGGTCGCTCTCGGTTAGATCTTCAACCAGTTTGTGGATAGCATAGGTGACGGTTGGGGGAGAGATCCATTCCCTGGCGTGAATGCCTCCGTCAATGAAGATGATTGGTTTGCTCTCATCTTCGAAGTTCGTAGATGAAATCTTGACGTACTTAATGGGGCGACCTTCGAAAGACTCAGCAGCAGTCACAACAGTGGCAATATCAGGGTATTCATCGCCAATATAGTCCAGGTACGCGTCAATCTAGAAAAAAATTGAATTGTCTTAAAATAACTAGCAAAATAATTTTAGTAATAACACAAATTATACCTCTCTGAAACTGTTCAATTAGTGACATTAGACATTTAACAAGAAAGAAAACTTTTAAGATTAATCTTGGAAAAATAGTCAATTTTGAGACGTTACGGAGTTGCCCAATTTACATGTTATCAGTATGCGCAAATAAAACATAACTTTGGACAAACAGTGAGTAAGTTAACTAAAACTAAAATTTTGGAGCACTTACCACTTCGAGTTCTTGGTAATTGTCATAAGGAAGCTGACGTCCTCCATTCCTGACTGTCGTAGCTCTTCTCTGCACGTCGATAAGAAGGTCATCATAGTCTAGTTGCCTGTAAAAATTGCAAAAAAATATACGTTTAATTATGAACAAAGAAAATAGTAACTAAAAAATTCATCTCCACAACCAAAAGAAAATCTTGAATCTTACGTTTTTAAATCATCAGCATGAACTCTGTAAGAGATGCCGGCAGCTTCGATCTCCTTGGTAAAACCAGATTGGTGTTGAGGTTTCACCAAAACGACACCTTCGCGACCCAGGATTGGGTAAGACAAAAAATCCAGTTCATATTTTTCCACCAAAGGTCCCAAAGCTTGAGACTGTTCGTCACTGGTGACTCCTATGTAGTAGGATTTCCATCTGAAACGTATTAAATTTTGGTTTGTTTAATTTATATTTTAATAACTATACATCTGATTTAAAATAATACGAAAAATATTGTATATATTAGTCCAATAGTACTCCAAGGAGATGTTAGAAATATTGATGACGCACACTTTTTATATGATAAAAGCAATTTTGAATGAAATGTCTGGAAACTGATGCTTACTTCATTGGTCAGTACTTATAAGGATTTTTGAAGATTTAAAGAACGTAAATCTGCAAACTGAAGCGGCAGATCACATTGCTCGAAAGGTCAGAAAAGTGTTCGAATGGCAACCATGGATCGGAAGACGTTCAGCTAGATGGACCTCGTTAGAGTCGCTTGAAGCAATTGGATGCGAGTAGCGACTTGTCTTGCGGCGTGAAGAACTCAGAGGAAGGCCTTTATCCAACTGTCCACGTCTTTCGACTAATGATGATGATGGTGATGGTGATGATGAAGTACAGAAGATAAACAAACCCAATATATTCTTCATGCTTGGCATAAGCCAAAGCCAATAAGGTAACCACGACAAGGAATTTCATTTTGACAATGCCCGTGATCCTAATTCTATCCAAATAAATATGATTGTGTAAAATGATAACATTACTTATCTTTGAGATAGCTTAAGACATTAATAACTGATAACTAAGCGCGGGATTGGTAAATTCTTACCATGATTAATCGTTAAATTTGTTTTCGTCGGATGACATCCCACCGACCATGGTAAAGGGAGGTTTCAAGACGATTCATCTCCACTGACCTTCATATATGAGAGACACGGATATGTGTCTCTAGATGTTCATTCAATTGATACTTTGAAAATAATATATTATTTAATGTATGTATGTCCGTTTGTTTATTTATGATCCTCCTTCCGCTTAAAAGAGTCAACAATCACAATCCCAAAAGGCTAGCAATGCACTGTAACTCTGTTGCATGTTTCTAAAAGCGGCACCGATTGCTTACCATCAGGTTATACGTCTGCTCGTTTGCCGACCTATACACCTATACCTAAACTATTTTTTATTTCATTTCCTAATATCTTACAGTTTACTTCGCCTTCTCGAGGATTATCTTCATCATCATCATCCTAAAAGTGCCCACTGCTGAGCAAAGGCCTCTTCTCAAACGGAGAAAGTTAGAGCATCAATCACCACGCTTGCTCAATAAGGGTTGGCGATTTCAAACTTATAAATTAAAGTTTTAAGTCCAGGTTACTTCACGATTTTTAACTTTACCTACATATAATTTGGAAAAAGTCACATTGGTACTTGCCAGGTTACGAACCAATTCTCTCATGATTCTCTTATCTAGGTTCTAAATAGAGAGACTTTAGTATTAATTGATAAATTAAAATGCCACACAAACCAATCCACGGATGATAGTTAGTATCGTTAAAAATATTTACAGAGCCTAACTCGAATGAATAATGATACATTATCATAATCACTGATAACATTAATATTAATTAATTCTTTTAATCTCTTTTTTCAAGTATTTGTATTTTGTCATCAGTCGTGGGCACGCGACAGAACGAGAACGTCATCATTGAAATAAAAATGGCGTCCTCACGTTCGTGATGAATACAGATGAAATAATATTATTTATCGCACGCAGTTCTTTTTCAATAACTATTTATTTAAAAGATAACTTTTAAAATTGAATTTTTCTTTGTCTTGAGAGCTACAGAAAATATTTTATAATTTTGGCTGACCGTTAACGTTCCCTGAAGGCCGAAATGTCTTCTGCAGCGGTTGCTGCGAGGAGGAAATTTTTCATACGCGCCTCCTCCTTAGCTAACTTCTTTGCTGAAGAAGAAGACGACTTCCTAGTTTCTATCGCTCCAAACCACAGCGAGAACGCCGCTGCTTACGCTGCTGATCGTTTCTCTGCTCCACCGGGTCGAGTACTCATATATATGATATGTATTGTTTTATAATCTTGATACTTAACAGTTTCAAAAGTAAACATGACCATGTGACCATGTGACGTGATTTAAATTCCATCTACAAAATACCAAAAAAAGTTAGCATAAAACTTAAATTGTCATACTACTGAAAATGGTCGTGGTGGTCCCGAGATTAAGGCGCCCGCTTCTCATGCGAATGTCATGGGTGTAGGTTCGAATCCTGCCAAGTACCAATGTGACTTTTTCGGAAAGGAAACGTGGTGATTAATGCTCAAACCTTCTCCGTGTGGGAAGAGGCCTTTGTTCAGCAGTGGGCTCTTATAGGCTGATGATGATGATGATGATGATGATTGAAAAACCTAGTATAGTATACCTATGTCAAATTTTCCGATATGTGATTCTCAAAAAATATATAGACAACCTTGTCTTAGAATTAAGTTTTTTAAATAGGCCATACGTATGCACGACACGACAATGTTATATAAAAACACGGAGAAGAAAATGAAGTGTCGAAACAAACTCAGTCAGTCAACATGTTTAAAAGTCCATACAAACGTAAAATTAATGTGAGTGATATATTATTTGAGAAAAAAAAACTAATAACTCACGTGAATTCACTGAAAAAACCAACCAGTTTCAAGTCACAATGAGACTCTTACTCATGAACAGAATGCTCGTCAAGGCAACGTTGCGCAGCCAATTATGTACTCAAGCTTGCGCAGCCATCACGCCATCTGCTGGCAAACCCACGCACTTGCATCCAAAGGCGACGGGTGCTGCGGAGTCTATGATGATGGAAGCTGAGAAGCGTCGTGATTAATTGTCATTTCTTTCCCGTGTTCTGAGACCTTTTGCGTGATAATGATGATTTAGAGATCGCTGTTGAGTATGCCATTCTGCATACGGCTAGACGGTCACTAGACGGCTAGAACACTAAACTTAATAGATAACCCAAACTTAATCCTCAATTTACTATAATTTTTTGCAGACCAGATGCACCACCTGATAGTACGCAATCAGCATCGTGGATAGTTGCTGCACCAAAGAAATAACGAATGCGTCGCCGGTCTTTCGGAATGAGGCATTTGAGGATTAGGAGATTTTTGGAAACAATGATAACTAAGTAATGTTTACACGTGACAATTAATCAGAAAGAAGCTCATTATCTGGTTACAAACATAATTACAAATTGGATAATCTCATTATCAATATATCATCATTATTATCATTCTTGGTAATGAATGCGTAAAGATTATAGCAGATGTCGCTACTGATGTAAATGGCAGTCTGTCAATCTTGATTTCACTTTTCTTTAAAAAATCCCATCACTACTTCTTGATAAACTTAAATGTCGAAATAAAGATAAAATAAATATTGCACAACCAACAGCGCGTTTAAATAACTGGTATTTTAAAAGCTTTAGCAGCAATGCAACTTAGCAAAAAAGCAAAAAAAAAAACATCAAAACTGCCACTACCATAATGTTAAATCCACGCAGCGTCATCAAGAAGCTATTAGAAGGCCAATTTTTTTTTTCTATCCGCCAATTATTTTGGGGTAATGTCATAAGCTATTGCGATATGATGATGATGATGATGCGTCATAAGCCTAGGATGCTAAATGTTTAGGTACTCAAGCATCGTAGGGGCAAACTGGGTTTTGAAGATTTTGTGGTAGAAAGAAAAAATGGTTTAATGTGTAACTGTAAAAATTTGTTAAATGTGCAACTTTTGTTTTAGCGCTCGAGTGTGACTGATAGTTATAGTGTATATTCTCCATGTATGATAATAAAAACATTTTAATCTGCCAAATTGCATAGTAGGATTATTATAGACTGACTGAGAAGATAGAAACAAGAACCCTTCACAACTCTCCGCTGTTGTAAACCACGATGAAATCGGCAAATATTTTTCAAAATCACTTTGTCACTGTTCTAACTCAACCTGTCTACTCTCAATTTGACGAAGTTAGTTAGATTGTTTATATGACTCTCTCCACTCCCTCCCTATGTTTATTAAGTATATGACAGATAGTTCCGCATATATTTATCTGACGCAGTCGAGTAACTACCGAAATCCCTTTCTGCGCTGCCCTACTAAATCTACACTATCTAGTTTGTTCGTAAGCCATGCCGTGCCAGTAATGATACAATTTGAACGAAAACCTTATTCAAGAGTTGAACGAAAGAGTACACTGACTTCAACAAAATATTTAATTCCTTTTTAGGTGCGGCTGCAAGCGCAAAAATTTACCGCAGCCCCGGCTCGCGAGCAGCAGAAGGAATTGGGAAGTTATTAGCCAGTAAGAATCTGACACTCTTTCTCACCCCCGTACTACACAGACGGGGCCCTATAGGGCTGATGTTCAGCCGGGGTTGCGGGGTAAGCGCAATGAGGCACCGCAATCTCGGCCCAGAGCAGGAGAAGGAACAGGGGGTTTTTTAGTCAGCAAGAGTCTGACACTCCTTCCCGCCCGGCCTTGGGCGGGAGAAGTCATTTGATGATTTTCCCCTCACAAAAACAAACCCATACGTACCAAGGTATTTGATAATTTACCCCTAAAATGCTTATTTAGAAGGATTATTTCACTGCTTAGCAAGAGTTATAAGAACTCAACCACGCTTTTTTTTAAACTATTATTTTTTTAATTCTGATCATTATCTCTATATAACATGTGGCTATTTCCCAATTACAAGATAATATTTCAAAATAATTCATAAAAGGTCACTCTTATCATAACGAAAATTGTAGATTAAAAACTAATACCTAAATATCTCTTATCCATTTAGTTATCGGACCATCTTGTCCATATAATGAAATGGACTGCGTTTTCCAAAAGTATTAGTAATTTGTGTGGCGAAGTGACCACATTCAAAATGAAGTACTTACTGCTAGCTTGTCTGTTTTATGGTGTCTTAGCCAAACATGATCTTTACGATGGGTATGTATTCTTAATACAATTACACATGTTCTTTTGCCAATTCTAGCAATTAATTTTGTGCATTATAAATATTTTAAAAGATTTTTTTATTTCCTATTTTGTATGCAATTTTTTTATGATACTTGACACATAGGTATAGAAAAGCATTGTGATGAAACTTTGCTTATGAATTTGTAATCACTAACTCGCCCCGAACAGGCGTGGTAATTATTGGTCAGACCTTCTCCGCAGCAGAAAAGGCTTTTAGTCGGCATTTGGTGTTTATAGATTGATGATGATAAGTTTGAAGGTGACGATTCCATAAGATTGTCTTGAACGCTGTGGAATTAGTCTGACAAAATGAAAGAGTGATAATATGGTAGCCTATAGTAAATAAATATCATTTCTTTTTTACAGGCATGCTCTTTACGAAGTCAATGTTCGTTCAATAGAACAAACAAAACTAGTTTATGAATTTGAAAATGAATTGTTCCTTGATATCTGGGTTAATGCTGTCCCTGGTCATCCAGGAAAGGTCCTCGTCCCAAAAGACAAGAGAGCAATTTTCGAAAGCTTCTTACAACAAAACAGTGTGCAATACAAAGTTGGAACCGAGAATATTAAAGAGTAAGTGCGAATGCGACTATAATTTTGATTTTTAGTGAAACTGAAACCCAATTATTGTTCTTAAAGAAATGCTAATAATTCTTCAAATTAAAGGCAACTGGACAAAGAAGATGAACTTCTAGCATCAGCTACAGCGAGGAGCAATAATTCGCGTATTGGCTTTGATAGAATCCACACTTTCGAAGAAGTAAGTCAAATATACATAATAAACATTTTCATCATAGTGTTTAATTGTAATAACCCATAGTTGTTTTTTCTTGGCCGTACTAGATGGACGAAAAGATGGATGTAGCCCATAAAAACAAATATGGGTTTGTTTTGTGTTAAGTCTGATAAGTTTTTTGAAATTAAAATAAATTTAAAAGAAAAATATACTGTCCTAACATTCTTTAATTGAAAATGAGTCTACAGTTCTGAACATAAGTGCCTAAATTGGATACGCACTTAAATTTTACGTGATATATGTAACCTTGTAATTTTATTCGCAGGTTGATGCCTATTTAGACCAGCTTGCAAGAGATTATCCAAATGTTGTCTCCGTTGTCCTCGGAGGAAGAAGTATTGAAGGTAGACCAATCAGATATGTCAAGATTTCCACCACAAACTTCCAGGTAAGAGCAAATGAACATTATAAAATGTATTATGATCAAAAAACTAGGCAATAGAGGGCATCCTTGTCTTCTTAGGCAAAAATTTTTACATTAACTTTTCACATTCTAGGATACCAGGAAACCAGTTGTAATGATTCAATCTCTTCTCCACTCCCGAGAATGGGTGACCCTGCCAGCAACTCTCTACGCCATTAGGAAGCTGGTTGTCGACGTCACAGAATCTGACCTCGTCCAGAACATTGACTGGATCATTCTGCCTGTTGCCAATCCTGATGGATATGTCTTCACTCTCACCGTAAGTATTCTTAAGAACAAAATAAGTTTTACCCATTAATATACCAAAATACCCAAAATGTAAGTATGATCTAATCATACTTACATTTTGAAACATTAGGAATTTGGGAGTTGATTTCCATTTCTAAAGGAATTGGTTCAGTAGATAGTCATCTTATTGAATAAAGAGAATTAGTCAATAGGTTGAAAACGTCTCATTCTCATTTTAAGCACCATTGTTCAAAAGTGGACTAAGTCATGACACCTGAGAGGGAATTAGGGCTGGTGACAAAAAAAAACTATGACGTGTTTTAAGGGATACTGGAAAAAATGAATAAATACGAAGGCCACGTTTTTAAGGAAGCAATTTGTAGTATGTTTTATAACTCCTTTATCAATATTCACACTTACTATAAGTTAATCTACACAATCATCAACGTAAACAGAAGCTAGCAAATTATAATTATCGACATCCGTTACCGAATTTCTTTAATGAATTCCTCAGAATACAGCTGTATTCTGAGATGAATTCATACGTATGAACGTAATTTTTAAAAACGCCATCTGTTATAGAAATTGGTATTTTTCTTAGCATTACTCTAGCTATTGGAAAATAATAGATGGAGTTTAAACATCGATCGATTGACCCAACACTTGCTGTTGTAACACTAAATTCAATAGTTTTACCGTAGTTATGTGTAACTGTATATATGTATTTTTCAATGACAAGAGTTATATGGATACAATCGCTCATTATTTTTATTCAGGTGTCTTAACAAATCGTTATAATTATGTCAAAGTTAGATTCTATACTCAGACTGACTCTTATTGATTGAATGACTTTGGTTTTTCAAAGTCAAAGTCAAAGTCAAAATTATTTATTTCAATTAGACCCATACAGGCACTTTTGAACGTCAACACAACTTTAAAGATACAAAGTGTCAGTCTGTCGGTCAGTCCTCTTAGTGAAGCTATTCGCTCGTTCCAAAGTGTAGATTCCGATGGAGAAGAACGAGCAAGAAACTCCATGGTTACTCTTTTAAAATCAGTGTCACATAAACATTCTTTGATACATTATTTAGTTAGTTTGAATATGTGAGAACAGTGTAACGCGTGTATACAGAGAAACATAAAAAGAAAATAACCTTAAGGACAATAGACAGTCCGGAGCTGACCAGTCCCAATTGACGGCGCCCGTTCACGAGCATGACACGTACACCAGCATCGCCCAACTCAACCATAATATAGGGAATCGAGCGATCCAGTGACCGTGCCACCGCCAATGTGACCTTTGAGTGAGCATGACAACTCCAAGCTGACATATGGACCGACATTCTGCTAGTCTAACTAATTTTAATAGGTTACAGGGCACTCACATTTACAAATTTATCAAGTTTAACAATAAAAATAGCATGGTTACAAATTTACAAAATCTAAGAACTTCCGTTCAAGCAAAGATCCACTGGAACATTATTTAGATTCGTGTAGGTATATTATCCTGTGGAGCAGGACCAGCCCGTCTCCAAGCATCCTTATCCTCAATATAATCACTCAGTTTGTAATATGCTTTTTTACACAAAGTTTTCTTTACACATAATTTAAAATTTCTTTCATTTAATTGTTGTATTTCGCCTGGGATTTTGTTATAACACTTAACGCTGAATCCCATGAACGACTTGTGTACCTTTGCCAATCTAAATAATGGCTGACACAATCTATCTCTATGTCTAGTTTGGTAATTATGTCTGTCTGATACCTTATCAAATAATATTAAGTGTTTCCTAACATACATTATATTTTCATAAATAAACTGACCGGGCACAGTCACAATATTGATCTCTTTAAATTTATCTCTAAGAGATTCGCGAAGCCTTAGGTTGTAAATTGCTCTGATTGCACGCTTTTGCAAGACAAATATAGACTCAATGTCAGCAGCCTGTCCCCACAACAAGATGCCATACGACATAATGCTATGAAAGTAGCTGAAGTACACCAGTCTTGCAGTGTCCACATCTGTTAGCTGTCGGATCTTCCAGACAGCAAATGCTGCAGAACTCAACCGTCCTGCCAGAGATGTGATATGGGGCCCCCATTGTAGTTTTTCATCTATGGTTATACCCAGAAAAGTAGTCTGTTTTACAAATTCCAATTTCTTGCCGTTTAATAATATGTCACATTCGTTACTTTTTACATTTGGTAAACTGAATCGTATACACTTTGTCTTTTTGTCGTTTAGAACTAAATTATTAACTGTAAACCAGTTATGAACCTTCGTAATAGCATTATTTACTTCGTCATAATTATTTGTCCGTCTATTTATTTTAAAAATCAACGATGTATCATCAGCAAATAATACCATTCCCGGTTCTCGCTGAAATAAATGAGGTAAATCATTTATGTAGACCAAAAATAGGAAAGGACCTAATATCGAGCCCTGTGGTACGCCCATAGATATGCTAGCACCCTGAGAATTCACTTTGTTTACCTGTACTTTAAGCTGCCTATCCTGGAGGTATGATTTTAATAAATTGAGTGAAGCCCCTCGAATACCATAGTGTTCCAACTTTAGCAACAGTGTCTCGTGTTCGACGCAATCAAAAGCCTTGGACAGGTCACAAAAAATTCCAATAGCGTCGTGCGACTCCTCCCACGAGGCAAAAACACGCTTAATTAAAGTTACACCGGCGTCAGTTGTGCATCGACCTTTGGTGAACCCATATTGTTGATCATGAAAGATAGAATTCATGTTAAAGTGACGCAGCATCTGAGAAAGCATCAGCTTTTCAAACACCTTACTAAGCACCGGTAAAATAGATACCGGCCTATAATTATTAGGATCGGTATCATCGCCAGATTTAAACAGTGGAACTACTTTGCTATGTTTCATCAAATTTGGAAAAACTCCCTGATCTACACTTCTATTATAAATTAAAGCTAAATGAGGCGCTATAGCTTCTATAAAAGCCCTACACACTGCAACAGACATTCCCCAGAGATCCTCTGTAGACTTAACTTTAATGTCTTTAAACGCCTTTATTACTGATTGGGGGTTTGTGTACTGAAATTGGAAATCAGAACGGCATTCTTTAATATTTCTTTTGAGAAGACTAATTGAAAGTGCCGGAGATGATTCTAAGTCCTTTGTAGTTTCAATGGGGATATTCTTGAAAAAAATTTCAAATTCTTGTGCAACTTCCCGATTTACACTAACATGTCCATTTCCGGTATTTAAATTAATTTCCGTGTTATGCAATTTACGTCTGCCTGTCTCATTGTTAATTATTTTCCATGTAGCCTTTGTTTTATTTTCAGCGTTCTTAATCTTACGGCTAATGTAAAGAGATTTTGCTTGCTTACAGACCATTTTAAATATTTTTGCATATTTGGACACATGCTTGCTAAAGGCTTCGCTTGTATTAAATGGTTTCATACCATATAGTTCAAATAACTTTCCCCTACTTCTACGAATACCGGGGGTAGCCCAGTCACAGAATACAAATTTACATTCAATGATTTTACGTTTTAAGGGGAATAATTTATCAAATTGGGTTTTAATAATGGCCAGTAAGTTGGCATAAATCTCACTTGGACCTTCATAATCATGTGATGGGCTGCATAATATTTGCTTTAAATTATTATTTAATGACTCAACTTTTTTATCCGTGATATGTCTAAACATTATTTCCTTTTTTGGCACCGTTGTGATGTTGTTTAAGTTTATTGTTAACCCACTGTGATCTGATGGTAAGCTATTAACAATATTTTTGTGCAAATAATCACAGTTACAAAATATATTATCTATACATGTAGCCGAGGTGGATGTTACTCGGGTGGGCTCAAGGAATACATTAGACAAATCAAAAGATTTAAAAAGAGTTACTAAATTAATACAATTAGAATTGTTTTCCAAGAGATCAATATTAAAATCGCCACATACTATTGTAAATTTACTGTTCGAACACGTTTTCTGCAACACTTGTTCCATAACAGAGTTAAAAACGTTTAAGTTTTGTAAGTTTGGAGGTCTATAGACGCATATCACAACATGCCTATCCAGCTCTACACAGGACAATTCTATTGTATGTTCAATGGAAAGTGAAGTTATATCTTGTCTTTCTTTATACTTAATTGAGTTTTTCAATAAAATTAAACTACCACCATGAATCATTGCTTGACGGCTAAAGAAACTACCAACACAATAGTTTTTAAAACTCATAAATTCTACTTGATACTTCTTCATCCAATGCTCTGTTATACAAATTATGTCAAATTTAAATTTTTCTAAAAATAATTCCAATTCTAGTAATTTGGATGAAATGCCCTGAATATTTTGACTAAGGAGTGTAATATTTCCTTGTTTGTGTTTATTATATAATATGCGGCGAGAAGAAACCTTTTGATAATTTGTAGTATGAGAATTCATTAGGTTATCTTCTGTTGTCTCAAAATTTAATTTAAAAAATTATCTGGAGTGCTACCCACATTTGTCCCTAAATGTTGAGTCTCCGTCGTACTATTATATGTACAATCAATCACTACATTATTAGAATGTCTAAATAATATAGTTTCGTCACTTAATACTAGATTAATAATATTTGCTAGAAGGCTAGCAAGTAATACTTTACATTTTCAAGTAATACTTTACATTTTTAAGAACTAAATAACCAATGTCAAATCTGTACCAGGATCTGGATCCAATGATTTTGGGTGGGTCTCAGTTCGGTCGTTGGACAGTATTTAAAATGTACCTTGTATATCTATCTTAAGGTTAACGATCTCAAATATCTCAGTAAATCATTGTATTTCGAAGTTTGCCTTAGAATGGGTTTTCTGACATTTGACCAATGGGCAATAAATTTTAATCCTCTTAATATCTTAAAAAAATACGTGATGTATTGGAAATACCAGCGTTTTTTCCTTAATTATCTAATTGTTATTAATCAACGCCTTACGTTTGGCGAGATAATAATTGATATCCGACTAAGTCATTATTTTTACTACTAATTACTTCTTGTTTTTATTTTTTTATCTAGTACTTACTATCTATTGCTCTAATCCCTAGATAATAAATTCTGACTAATCATTGTCATAAATTTTATCGGTATAGCAAAGAGAAGTGAACTCTTAGCAATCCACATCAAATGTTTACCTCACAAATCCAACCGCAAGTGCAACTGGACAGCATAAGGTTCCAATTGCAAATTAAAAGAAAAAGTAAATTTACGTAGAAAAAGCAGATTAACGTATTGTTTATGAAAAACTATGTGTTAATCTACCTCTTTGCAGAAAAGTAGTTAAAATAAATAAAACAAGTTATGAATTTTATAAAACAGTCGTCAGATCCTCAACAGAAAACACTATTCTCTCATTCACATAAACATTGTTCTTGATATTTTCCATTTCGCAGAATAAACTAGATGACACACACTGAATTTCTGTTTCCTTTGTTCACAGGATCGCTTCTGGCGGAAGAACCGTGCAACTCGCTACATGATTGCCAACCGCTGCCCTGGTGTAGACCTCAACAGGAACTTCGGCTACGGTTGGGGTACAGCATCTAGTTCTAATCCTTGTCAAGACACCTTCCATGGAGGAGCAGCTTTCTCTGAGCCTGAGTCTGCCGTCATTCGAGACATCATTGCTCAACACAGGACTCGCATGGCCATGTATCTCGATATTCACAGCTTTGGTAGTATGATTCTTTACGGCTATGGCGACGGAGTTCTCCCACCTCATGCATTGCAACTGAATTTAATCGGTGTTCAAATGGCCCAAGCCATCGACAGAGTCAAATGGCCATCAAACAGGAATTATATCGTTGGAAATATTTTCCATGTACTTTATGCTGCTTCTGGCGGTGCTAGTGACTATGCCATGAGTGCTGCTGCTCCATATTCTTATACTTATGAGCTACCAGCTTATAGGAACAGTCCATGGATGGATGGTTTCTTAGTAGATCCAGCTTTTATTGAACAGGCTGGCTTTGAGACGTGGGAAGGTATCAAGGTGGGCGCTAGGGCTGCTGCTGCTGCGTTCAGGAATGGCAAGGCTGTGTAAAAATATAGTTTTATGACTGACGACTGATATAATAATATATTTATTTATAGATAATATAAAATACAAAAATTATTTGGTGTTTCAATTGTTTATTGTGTGCACTTAGAAATGTATATGTGTATTATATTTACCCACATTTTACTCTCGACAGACGATGTCGAATCAATAAGTTTAGAGAACACTTTTCAATTCTATCGACATTCCGTTTGGCCCCACCACTAGCCGCGAGGTTTCCAACGAATGGTAATGTGGTTTGATCCGCGGCGTTCAAACTTTTCAATGAATTTAGAACAGTGCTGCATCGCTGCAACAGAAGATTACAATATTTTTACATTTTCTAATTGAAATCGATTCCACTACTTCAACTGGTTAATGTTTCTTGTAGGTAGGAAATAAAATAGATGAATTTTGTAGAATTTATTTAAATACATCGACCAATACCACCAAATCTTTTTTTATTGATTATTTTAGTTTAAAAACAATTTACGGTAATTTAATTCCATCCTAAAACGCTAGGTGGCAATCGCATCTGCTAAATCATGTCGCGCCACTATTTTCCCCTGAATAGCCACCAAAAATAGCATCGTAACCATAGCAACCTCGTAATTGCTTATTCTGCGATATGCCTATTGTGACGTTCACTCGACATTCTTAAAATGAACTCCAAAAAGTAAACTTATTTTTCTGCCATTAAAGAAAAGAAAAAAAAAGAACTTATTTTTCTAAGGTAGTAGGTATTAAATATGTGTTGTCATATGAAAATAAACAGAAAATTAAACAGATCAAAGAACCAATTGCCGTTTACAACATGTTTTTTAAAACCTAAATACGTCATAATAAGTACTGATTCTATGAGTTTGGTAGAAGCATCTTATTGTGAGCAGTTTTGAAATTAAAGCACTTTATATGACCAGAATTTGAAATGAGACCACAATAAACAGTACTCATAATATAATCACCTCTCTTAGCCAAGTTCAGTATCGATAATTTTTGTGGCTTCCCACAAATTAAGGCATATATGCTAATTTGTTTTTTGCATGACTCAAGAGTGGGAGAATCGGTCGACCACTCGAACAAGACAGCTCGACCGGATTAATACCATATTATTATAACCTCGAAAAAACCGTCGACATATAGTTTTTTTTGGAAATCATCCAAAAAGTCTTTTCTTTTCTTTTCTGCCTTGGGTCTGCGAGAGGTAGTGTCAGCTGAATCCTACCTGACTAAAAACTTAACCTTACCTCTTTTATCTCCCAGCTGAGCCGCGGTACATCATTGGTCTGATACCAGCAATCTTGGCTGGACCTTGACCTTAGTAGGTCCCTCCTATGGTAGATTGTATGATGGTTCAAAGGGACGCGCCGTACCCTTGAGGTTCTTATCGGGCAGCAGGATCGTCGTCCGTGACGAGACTCTCAACTCAATCTTGCTTGATGGAGATTTTAGAGCAATACCCGACGGTTGGACCGTCTCGTGCGACGGTTGCAGCATGAGGAAGATCATTCCGTCACGCACTCTATCTCTTTCTTTGCAATCATGACTTTTCCGCAGAAGAGTAAGACTTAGTATCCTAGTTCCTGTCGTTCTGCATCAAGTAAGTCAGTTATACCTCCAAAATAGTCACATTGATAGTTGCTTAGTTTCGAACTTCACCTTCATGCATGAGGAGTGGAAAACCGCAACAATGTTTTTAGTATAATTTATCTTTTAACGTGCATTGGTTCCTTCAATTTTTATGTTTTGGTAAATCCAGAAATAATTTTTGAATTGCTGAGCAGTGGACACCTATATACTGATGATGAGTCCAAAATCATTAATTTTACACTCTTATCATAATGACAAAAGTTAAAGATAATCTAATCCATGGCGCTATCAGATCATATTTAACATAAAATGCATTGGTCTGCGCTTTTAAAAAGTATTAGTAATTAGTGTGGTGAAGTGAGCACATTCAAAATGAAGTACTTACTGCTAGCTTGTCTGTTCTATGGTGTCTTGGCCAAACATGAACTCTATGATGGGTACGTATTCTTAATGTTATTTATTTTCATTCTTGCTAAGCCAGTCTTCTCTGACTCAGTATAAAAAAAACACCGAAATGTGTGCACATCTTAAGATTTATTTGAACAGTCATGATAGTAAGTCATATTTTTTACAGGCATGCTCTTTACGAGGTCGATGTTTATTCAGTGGAACAAACAAAACTGGTTAATGAATTTGAAAATGAGTTGCTCCTGGATATCTGGTCTTATGCTGCCCCTGGTCATCCAGGAAAGGTCCTCGTCCCAAAAGCGAAGAGAGAAATTTTCGAAAACTTCTTGAAACAAAATAGAGTGCAATATAAAGTCGAAACAGAGAATATTAAAGAGTAAGTGCAAAGAAATACAGTAAATTTAATTTAAAAAACAATGTGACATATTTTAAGAACAGGAACGTCATTATAAAAAAGCAATAATTAAACAAAATCTAACATTTTAGGCAATTGGACAAAGAAGATGAACTTCTAGCATCTGCAGCAGCAAGGAGCAATAACTCACGTATCGGTTTTGAAAGAATCCACACATTTGAAGAGGTGAAAATTTCTCTTAACTCAAATGAAATATATCAGTTTTACAAATACACCATAATCATCAATACTCTTAATTCAACAGTTATACTAAAAAAGTTAATATGGGAGAAATTTAAAAGATCCAATGTGAATGACACGTATGTTACACCTGATGTAAGGGAAAACAAATAATATTGCCTTGGCTTCAAGTCACGCAGCATTTGAGTAGAAATCATACAGTTCGGGTGGATAGGTTTCTGGTAATTATGTAAAGTTCTAAACTATCAATATTTTTTCGCAGGTTGATGCCTATTTAGACCAGCTCGCGAGACAGTACCCGAATGTTGTCTCCGTGGCCCTTGGAGGCAGAAGTGTCGAAGGCCGACCCATCAGGTATCTCAAGATTTCAACCACCAACTTCCAGGTAAGATAAAAATTCGAGGAAATTTGCAAAATTTCATGTAAACATTAATCACTTTTATTAATTTTCCCTCTTTTTAGGACGCCAGAAAGCCAGTTGTGATGTTGCAGTCTTTGCTTCACTCCCGAGAATGGGTCACCTTGCCGGCAACTCTATATGCCATCCAGAAGTTGGTTGTCGACGTCACAGAATCTGACCTCGTCCAGAACATTGACTGGATCATTCTGCCTGTTGCCAATCCTGATGGATATGTCTTCACTCTTACCGTAAGTAGTCTCAAGGAGGAAACAAGTTTTACTAATGTATAGAATGAGGAAATCCATCGTCAAATACTAGAAATTATGATTTGGAAATCCTTGGACCTAAGGTGTATCAGTAGACCGCTATCTCATTAAACAATGGGTATTAATTAATAGAATTAAAATATCTGATTCTTACTACCATTGTCAGCAATATTGAAGACACAGCGGTTGAGTTGTAAGTAGTCCAAGTAAATTAATGTAAAAATCAAAAATAAATAATGACAAAAACACGCGACATTGATGATAGATATGCCAAAATACCCACGTTTTTTCCATAATTATCTGTTAAGTCTGGACATTAAACGGCTACCTACGCTTGGTACAAGATAACAATTATTGATAACTTTTTTGGTACTACGGCTAAGAAAAAGGTATTATTGTATGCATTTGCATGTTTGAACAGAATATTGTTCCTTAATCTTCTTAGTCGGCGAGTAAACAAGTTGATATAAACTAAAGTACAGCAAAACAATATCATGAAACTGTCTCTTAAAAAAACGATAACTGACGCTCAAAGACGACACTATACCCTTGGTTAACAGGATCGCTTCTGGCGGAAGAACCGTGCAACTCGCTACATGATTGCCAACCGCTGCCCTGGTGTAGACCTCAACAGGAACTTCGGTCATCGTTGGGGTACAGCATCTAGTTCCAATCCTTGTCAAGACACCTTCCATGGAGGAGCAGCCTTCTCTGAGCCAGAGTCTGCCGTTATTCGAGATATCATTGCTCAACACAGGGATCGCTTGGCGCTGTATCTCGACATCCACAGCTTTGGTAGTATGATTCTTTACGGCTATGGCGACGGTGTTCTACCACCGCATGCATTGCAACTGAATTTACTTGGTGTTCAAATGGCTCAAGCCATCGACAGAGTGAAATGGCCATCAAATAGAAATTACATTGTTGGAAATATTTTACATGTTCTCAATTACGCTGCTTCTGGCGGTGCTAGTGACTATGCCATGAGTGCTGCTGCTCCATATTCTTATACTTATGAGCTACCAGCTTATAGGAACAGTCCATGGATGGATGGTTTCTTAGTAGATCCAGCTTTTATTGAACAGGCTGGTTTTGAGACATGGGAAGGCATCAAGGTTGGTGCCAGAGCTGCAGCTGCTGGTTTCAGGAATGGCAAAGCTGTGTAGATTTATTACTGTATGGATTTATTATTGACGACTGATAAAATTATATATTTCTTTTACATAAACAATAAACAATTAAACATTATTAAATTTTTTACTTATTTGGTATCACTTTGAGCAACGGCAGACCCTCCACCCACCTCAACGGGACCTACTTGAGTCGACGGCTGGTCGAGTCTACGTCATATGCTTCGTTTGTCTTGATAATGGCATGAGTCATTTGACGATTAAGCATTTTATAAAAAAAGATGTTAACATAAAATATAATGATACTTGCAATCAGTTGTGAATAATTTAATGAGGTTACTGGACTTGCAGCAATTTTGCGTTGCTGTTGCTGCTAAACACTAGGTATTAAACTGTGCTCATTAATCATTCAATATCTCGCTGAGAATTAACGAATACTTGGAAATTCAATAAAATTTAAAGCGCCTATTGTCACATACTGAGCAAAGTTTCGCAAATGAACATTCGATGCGTGAATTCAGATAATGGTACTAAAACGTTAGTTGAACGAACGTGAAAATGAAAAGCAAATTCAATTTGCGAATCAAAGCATTTAAAACCAATTGCTCTGGAAGGGTTGAAAAAGGAGAAACGATACGCTACCATTACATTTCTATCCTGTCCTCTTCAGCAAATGGCACATAGAATAATAAAATAATAGAAAAGTCAACTAATGAGATTGAGATTACTTGTCCAAAGTCAATTGCAATCATTGTTTCTTCAGGGCAGCAAACGAGCAGATCAGAATGAAGATGACCTGATGTTAAGAAGTCAGAGCCACCCAAGGACAAAGTTTAGAGGTACTGATCTGTTTTGAGGGTTGTAAGGAATTTAAAGATTGTTGGATTTGGGGATCATGGATGATAAAGGGTTGTTAAGGTTGCCCGTCCAGTAAGCACACTGGCACGTCGAAATGTATTGCAAATGTTATTTCAAGTCACTTTATGTAAGGCCGTAATGTAACATCGACAGAACTGACCTATGTATTCGTCTTAAATTCTTATTCGTCACTAAATCCATGTTATTTTACTAAATATATGTTATTTTTTTAGTTAATATATGTTATTTTCTCAATGTTAATGTTAATTTTATCTTTTAAACAATGGACGGTAGAAATCAAGGACAAAAAATTACGTTTTTTAATTTTGAGTACCTACTCGTAATTTTGGGGACTGCTCAGGAATTTAATAAGGCTACGGGGAACGGAATTGATTATTTCAATAATCCGTTATAATATGCGGGCTTTACTTTGCTCCAGTTTTTACTTTGTTTTTTACGCATTAGCATTAACTTATTTATTTCTCGAGTTTGAAGTAACGTGCTATTTGTCTTAACTAAATGACAAGGTCCATGGGGTATGAAAAATTCGAAATGTACTCGAGCCTCGAATAAGTTATCTAAAAACACAAATTCTGAAATTTCAATTAAAACTATAGCCGTTTGGTTATAAAAAGGATGTTATCACAGTTATAAGTATTATTATGATTTCAAACTATGTGTTCTTTATTTACTGAGAGTTTTCGAAAACCCAAAAGAGAATAGGTAGAAGAATTAGATATTAAGACAATTCTATCTCTCAATACAAAATTTTCAATATTTTTCGGCATATGAGCAGATGGCTCTCCTTACGATAATAGATTGGCGTTGCCCGTGGCCACTCGAATCCACAGAGGAGTTACAAATGCATTGCCTGCCTTTTGGGGATTATTCGGAATTTTAAGACCCTTTTTTATGTTTTATGACAGGGGCAACCGGGCATACGAGCATATTACAGATTAGGTCATCTATCAGCACCGTCAGAGAAGCTGCCAGTACGTCTTTTTAGGAAGAGGAGATGGGAATGCGGTCAGGATTCTTAACTCTCCACCTTCATTATTTATATACATTCAAAAGAGGTGTCGAGAAAAAAGGTTTGGTGTAAAAAAAACACGAAATAATTTGTACTGTATAATCGAATAATTTCTTCTGCAGCAACTGCAGTAGCTTTCCAAACATCTTCTACGATATCACTAATATCTTCCTCGGGTATAATAACACCATTACCACGTTGTACTAGATCAAAATTATAAGTATATAACACTGCTTTACTTCTAACGTAATCTACACTAGTGCCAGATATTCTATCGAATATGACTGACCCTACATCTATGTTGTAGGCGTTGTTCATGGTTTTAACCATTTCTAGCCCTAAAAGATACTGTTGTCTGAACATACCACTAGCAGCTTTTTCATAATACCAAGGAATTGAAATGTAGCCTCCATTATTTTGTAAGGACATATAAAGTTTTACTCTAGGAGCGTTTTTGTTGATTATATCTTGAATCATACGACTTTCGATTTCAGAGAATGGTTCCACTCCAGCGTATACATGGCTGCATGGACTTGAACTGGCGTCAAAATTCTGCCAGTCGTAGTCAAAGTTGCGATTAATGTTGACACCGGGGCAAATGTGTCCCATATTGCTGTTGGTGCTTCGAGATTTCTGCCAGAGGCGAAGCTGGAAGAAAAATTGTAAATTAGAAAGTAATTATCTTGTTTGAATTTAGTATCAGTAATTTGTATGTTAGTATGTTTTGCAAACATTTTAGTTTTAACAACATTATATTTACGCGGGAATTAACGCGGAAAATTATAATTTGAATACCATCAAAAGGGGGTAGATGAAGATTCATTACCCGAATGCAGGGAGCTGTGACATCGCGTCTTCAGTCTGCTTGTGACCACGACCTGTGCAACCGGGTCGAAACGTCAAGCCTACCAAGGTATTCAAATTATAATTTACCGCGTTAATACCCGCGTAAATATAATGTTGTTAAGATGAAACGCGAAAGTTTAAAAGTTAGTATAACATTTTAGTTTGATTAATTTATAAGCTTGATTGCTTTGTCAGTTTGAAGTGCAAGCGTAACATTATCGGCTTTATCTTCAATTCCGTGTTAGACAAGTTATTATTGCCATTTTCTATATATCGTCAGTTCTCATACATCTAATACATTATTAAATGATGTAAAGCGTACTATCAATGTAAGGGTTACAATTTCAGCAGGAGTTATCAAAACACTAAAAATCACATTTGATATTTTCATAAATCGGGAGTCACACCCAATAGCACCGTAGTCGTATGTTTTCTCGAGGTTTTGTTTTACTAGCCTCTAATGTCCCACTGCTGGGCAAAGGCCTTCCCATCTCGCTTCCACACCTCCCGATCTTTCGACTGTGTCCACCAGTCTCAAAGATAGACACAAATCGTCAAGCTATCTTTTCCGGGGCCTACCCCGCCTGCGGCCTCCATCCTGAGGTATCCACTAGATGACAATACTGGCCCATCTATTTCTCAAGGTCATATTATTAAAAATAAAAGAAAAATTTACTTACATTAGTATGAGTGTATTCATACCCGTCTGGATTCAAAACGGGAATTATGATCCATTCTACATTTTCCAAAAATCTTGACTCCTTCAAAAGATTTTCCACTATATTCAACGCAGCTGGAATAGTCACCCAATCTCTTGGATTTGTGGCAGATTCTATAACAATTATAGGTCTTTCTGGACTATTATTGTCATTAGCTCCTCGACCTACCCTCAAATAGACGAGTGGTCGATTCTCGGCCGTAACCCCATATTCAACAAGTTCCACCTTAGATAAAGAATCAGCTGATTCCTGTTCTAATTTTCGAAGGTATGTCAGGATCTGGAAGATTAGGAGATATACATAACATCTTCAAAACGGCATTTTAACATCGTCCTACTTTTATGTACCTAATCATGAGCTGTAAGTTTTCCTACTCCCGTTACTCTGTTCCATTTGATCGTAGCGTGACGTTTTATAGCTACAGATAGTGATAATTTGTTTGTATTTAGATTCCTCTGTTAATACATTGTTTCCTCGCGCGCCTCAAAGACAAAAAAAACACATTGTAATTATACTCACATTATCGTATCTGTGGTACTTGTTGACATCAAAATAATACTTTTCCTCTACATTCCTCGATAGACTCGTCCTATTCTCCACTTCAGATAAATACCTGTAAGTATCGTCATCATCATTATCATCAATTTTAAACTTCTGAGAAAAGTCATCTTCTCAAATTTTTGGAGGTAGAATGTAGAAGAAGAAAAGGAAGGAAATTTATTCAAAGATATTAAAAAAACATAGATAGATAGACCTATCAAAATATATAAACTTGCACACATATACACTTGCAAAAACTTACAACAGTCTTAGTGATGAAGTGGATATCTTCAGTGATACATTACCTGCATTTAAAAAAAATGTGTTGGGGATTTTTGGGAGGACTGAATTCCAATAAACTTTGTTTAAATAAAAAAAAATGTTTTTGTTTTATAAGTAAGTACTTCAGATTTTGCATTTTCAAGTCAAATGCTGAAATGGAGGTCTAAGTATTTTGGTGAGCGTGGAACACCCAACGCTGATTTTCATGTGGACCCTGCAGTAATGGAATGATCAATAATGACCCCGATGAAACGAGCATTGAGATTGATTGATTTACTATAAGTGTGGGAGAACCATGCTTCGGCACGAATGGGTAGGCTCGGCCAGAGTGATACCATGGCCTCACAGAAAACCGGCGTGGAACAACCTCAGCGTTGTGTTTCACCGTGTGAGTGAGGTTCCTCAATCCCTAAATCTGAAAATCCCTAATTTCCAAGAGGCGGCGCTGATTGCTTACTATCAGGTAATCCGTCTGACCGTTTGCCGACCGATCACATAAAAAAGAATTGAACACCGTGCTTTTTCAAGGCGGCTCAGTGGTTTGAAACGTATGACTTTCTTAGTACTCTAGGTATGGTTTTTGACATTTAAACAAGGAATCCCTAATGACTTAACAAAAGGAAATGTCTGTAGTCGTTACTGTTGTCAACTTTGTTTATTATATTATTAGTAGATCTTTTTTTTATTCTTTTAAATAATTAAGTTTTCTATATATGAACCCTGTGTGTACCTGTAATAGGCATGCTTATTATGTGTTTGGTTGTTATAATTATTACTTGTGGTTAAAAATACGTATGCTGTTGGTATACCAATAAATAATTTAATCTATACTAATATTATAAAGGAAAATTTTGTAACTTTGTATGTAGGGGTAATCTTTGGAAACGCTGGTCGAATTTCCAAAATTCTTCCACTGATAGATAGCTACAAAGTTCCTGAGTGCTTTAGGCTATAAAACATCACGCTACGATTAAATGGAGCCGAGCAGCGGGTGAAACCGCGCGATAGTAGCTAGTAAATAATATTATCACACTTACTGGTATACGTCTTCAATATAAACATCTCTGTTTATACCCAGCTCTTCCAATTTCTCCTCGAACCAGATAAAATGAGAAGGCGGTACCATAACCTGGCCCAAGACGCCATATTTGTAGTTTGGGAATCTCCAGAAGTCTATTAAATCACTCTTCAATATCCTTATATTTTCCTGCTGTTGTACCGTTTCCAATTCTATATTATATACTTTGTAACTGAAAACAAAAAACATTCTATTAGGGCTGATTTTTCAATGGTTAGATAAAAGTTATCTGGGGAATAATTATGATGCTGTCGCGTCAGAATGTTTGTATAAGACAGTGATGGCAACAATTTTATTCCTCAGATAACATTTATCTGACTATTGAAAAATCGGCTCTTAATCATATAAACGCAGAAGTTTTTGTAAGTATGTATGGATATTTGTTATGATAGCACGTAATGGATAGATTTTGACTGAACGGTTGGTGCGATTTTTGGCCTGCTGTGCAACGTGTCGGGGGTTTGGTTCCCGCGCGGAACAACTCTTTGTGTGATCCACAAATTGTTGCTCCGGGTGTGGATGACATGTGTATTTCAAATTGTATGTTTGTAAACGCACCCATGACACAGGAGAAAATCCTAGTGTGGGGCAACATTTACATAGAGATAGATTTTATATCTACACACTGACATACGGTGAAGGTAAACATCGTGAGGAAACCTCGACGTTTAATTTCTAATTATAAATTTGAAATCGCCAACCCGCATTGAGCAAGCGTGGTGATTAATGCTCTAACCTTCTCCGTATGAGAAGAGGCCTTTGCTCAGCAGTGGGCACTATAAGCTGATGATGATTATTTACTCAACAATTAAGCTGTGTGAAACAGTAAGTAAAAAAATAACTCACCCTTTATAATCTTCATTTTTAGCGGCAACAAAATAAAAAAACAATGAGGAAAAATAAATAAAATGCATATACAATAACATGTTAATTTGTAACGTGTTAAGATCTTAATTACTGAGTGAATTGAAACATAATGGATTAATTAGCATTTTAATCGAGGTATTTTATCATATCTATGTAATCCTATATTAAAAACTTTGTTATCTCGACCTCATGTGCCATAAGAATGTTGATCATGCCAGCTCCTGATAAATGCACGAGATTAACATTTCAACATCCTTTATAAAAACGTGAAACAAAGCTGGCGTTAATATTTCGCCGTGTTTATGAGATAAAGAAGAAAGAAAGAAAGAAAGAAAAATCATTTATTCGGTACAACATCGGAGATTAGATAAACGGATATCTAATCTCTCCCTCTAAACTCTCGTAGGCAGCGCATTGAGAAGATTTTTGAGAAGCAAGTGTGGGAGAGCCATGCTTCGGCACGAAAGGTCGGCTCGACCGGAGTTATACCACGGCCTCACAGAAAACCGGCGTGAAACAACCAGTGTTGTGTTTCGCCGTGTGAGTGAGGTTACCGGAGGCCCAATCCTTCCCCTTCCCTAATACCTCCCCAGTTCCTAAATCTCCAAATCCCTAATCCCTAAAAGGTCGGCAACGCACTCGTAACTCCTCCGTTGCGGGTGTCCATGAGCGGCGCTGATTGCTTACCATCAGGTAATCCGTCTGCTCGTTTGCTGACCTATTACATTAAAAAAAAAGCTTATATCATCCAACTCTCTGTCGTCTTCTCTAGCCCCAGCACTAGGACGAGAAGTGTCAGACTCTCAGTGGCTAAAAACTACCCTATTCCTTTTCTTGTGGTACCCGCAATCCCAACCTGGCATCGGTCCTGGTTAGCCCAACGGTGGTAGTACCTATGGTAGCTCTTTAAGATAGGCGTGTAGCCGCCCTTGTCCTTCTCTTGTGATCCCAACCTGGCATGGGTCCTGGTTAGCGCAATTATGGTAGTACCTACGATAGCTCTTTGAGATACGTGCGTTTCGTCTCCTCCTTAGCTAGGTACAATAATCTCTTTCTCAGTCCCCATATCCCTATGTATGCTTAAATCTTTAAAACTACGCAACAGATTTGATGCAATTTTTTAATGGATGTAATGTAATGACAATAGGTGTGGGAGAGCCATGCTTCGGCAGCGTAGTGTTTCGCTGTGTGACTGAGGTTACCGGAAGACCAATCCTTTCAGTATCCCATTCCCAAAATCTTCAAATCAATTATCCAAAAGGTCAGTACCACTCTCGTTACTCCTCCGTCGTTGCGGGCGACGCTGGTTGCTTACCATCAGGTAATTTTAATAAAATAGATTTTATATAGTCTGAAATAACACAGGTTTTTTATCAGGTTGAACTGCCGAGCAGAAGCTAGTAAATTCGTAATATTAAGACTACATCCTCTAAAGAGGAAGGCAGAGAAACATACTAAATCTGAAATCTCACTTTTTATAGTAACTATGGTAAGACATGCTAAATTTATTGAAAATAACAAAACTCACAGTCGCACGCGACGCACACGCTGCTCATTAACAAGAGTCCCGTTGTGACTTGAAACTGGTTCAGCTTTTCTTATTTTATTTAAATAACTAAGAAAATCTCTAGTCAGTATTTCCGATAATCCGTTAGCTCGTTGGTCGACAAATCACATAAAAAAAATATTGATTAAAGAGGAACGTTTACATGTATAATAATATCCATTAAACGACGGATAAACTTGTTCACTGCACTCGTGCAAAACTGGAGTTAGCTAGATCCATAGTATTAATAATATCATGTAGTAATTATTTTTCTAAGTCTTTAATAATTTCACACACTCTGTAAAAGTGTTAAAAGGCTACCACTAAGTTAGCGGCGCATTGTCGTTCAGCTAAATTGATGAGTCTTGACCGTGTCTGTACTTACAATCTATCACGGCTAATGCATTTCTGTAATGGATACAGCTTTTGTTCTAGTCACCTTATTTTAGTAGTATCTAATGAGAGCTATCTTACAAAATAGAGGACAGACATAATATGCGCTTCTTTGTCACCCAAACACATAATACATTAATCGAATTTATTAATTAATGAATGAATGAATGAATGAATATACTTTATTGTACACCATAATAATAAAAAACATAGGAAACAAAAACACAAAATATAGTACAATTGGCGGTCTTATCGCTTAAAAGCAATTTCTTCCAGACAACCTTTGGATGGAGTTTAACTGTAGAAGAATTTGATGCGGGCAGTTTAATATTGTATAATTATGATAATAACGAATTAATTGCATGACGTAGATAATTTAATGACATAATTATAAATAATTTGCACGCTTGCTTGCAGGCTGAATGCAGTGACTTTTAGGATATAAGACCTTTCCTTATTAAACAATGTAATTCTTGCAAATAAACACTTTTGAATTTGAATTTGAATACGTAATCGAAAGAAAGAAATAAAAACTATGTAAAACAAACGGATGAAGAATACCACTAACATTGTTGCAACCTAGACGTTGCAAATATATTTAAAAAAAACCTGTAATAACTCTACTTATTTATTTCTAGCTTATGTCCCAACTCCAAAAAAAACAAATGAATATCATCAACCAATTATCAACCATCACCAAACCGATATTAAAATGTGTAGGTACAAAATAAAATGACACTACAGAAAACTACTAAGAAATCATTTATCCGTAATCAATATTCTTAAAAACATTCATACGACATCTGACCATTTGTCTGCCTCGCTACTGTTATTGTTATTCCCTCTGTTTATTCATAGTAAAGCTATATTTAGTTGTAAGTTAATGTCATTAATCTCATTTTAAGTGAACCAGGTTCTTATGAGAAATGAAGTTATTTAAACCTGAACCAGGTTTATTGCACTTTTCATTATGTGGTCATCACTATGCTTGCCTGCCAAGTTTTTTGAACATATAAGATTAGAAGAGTGTTTTATTCCGATTCATAGATTTCATTACGTAGTTCAGCAAAGGTTGACATTAGGAGGGTGTCAATGAGCCTTTATCATAAAGGAACAAATGAACTTAAAAAAATAAATTATTATTGACAATATATTATGTATTTGTATATTTGAGAAATGAAAAACAATATTTATCTCTTTAAAAATTGCTCTTTTTGAAATTATCAAGAATAAATCTGGCGCCTGTTTTGATACCTTCCCAGGTTTCAAAACCAGCCTGTTCGATAAACGCAGGGTCTACGAAGAAACCGAATCCTCCAATACCAAATCTATGTCCAGGAAGTTCGTAAGTATAGGAGTAAGGTACACCAACAGACTGGGCATAATCACCAGCGCTGCCTGAAGCATCATACAGTACCAAGGCAACGTTACCAACAACATAGTTAGGATTCCAGCTCATTTTAACAGCATCAATGGACTCTGCCATCCTGACTCCTAGTAAATGGACCATGAGGCCATTTGGAGGTAGAACTCCATTTCCATATCCATACAAAATCATGCTTCCAAAGCTGTGGATGTCCAGGAACAATCCGATCCTATCACTGTATTGGTCGAACACGGATTTGATGATGGAAGTTTCTGGTTCGGAGAAGGGGCCTCTTCCATGGTAAGTATCGAGGCAAGGGATGTTGCTAGAGGCTTCTGACCAGTTGATGTCGAAGTTCCTGTTCAGGTCCACGCCCATGCAGCCGACACCAAGGTTTGTGTTGCGGTTTTTACGCCAAAGACGGAACTGTGGGCAAATATTTTTGAAATTAATATCATAAGTGCAGGAGAATCATGAGTGGACTGTCTCGTTCGGATTGGAGAGATACCATGACCTCACAGAAACCCGGAGTGAATGAGGTTACCGAAAGCCAGATCCTTCCCGTCCTATCCCTAATTCCCCAAACCCTTAAAAGCCTACGATGCACTCGTAACTGTTCTGATGTGTCCATCGGCGGAGGCGATAACTCATAATCGGGTAAAATCTCTACTTAAAAAAAAACATTGTTATTTCCGAAGAGGCGACGAATAATATATTGAATCTACATTTTGTCTATTATTTCGCCACACCACATATCATGGGACTATGAAACTTTACTACTGAACTATGAACTTCTTCTCCATATGAGAAGTTTGCCATAATCTACGCGGTTGGCACTGCTATCTGCGCTGCGCAGCGCTGCTATCCGATCTTTGTTAAATGTGTAGTTTCTTAACACACCCATAAAAAGAGCAGCGACAAAATTGAATGCATTCTATTTTCTATCATTACACGCCTAACATCACCAAATTACATGAAAAATAAACCAATACACACCATCACCGATGTCCCAAAATCAAGCTTTAAATTATGCCTCCAATATTGAAATCATGTTTTTATTTAGCCCACCAACATTTTGGCAGTATGGCCGTCGCGGTTTTTTACTCATAATTTAATACTTGGACGTGTGAATATCATGCATCATTTTATTTGCAAATACAATTTGCCACCAATATTCCATATTTACTACGGCCACAAAATGCAAACGAAAACTTTTAGAAGACTATTTTTGTTTTGGGGCTGTTTTCAGCAAATTCGACACTTGATTTTACACAACACCTGTCCAGAAAAAAAAACAGGAAAAATTAGCACTCATTTTTTTTGGTGCAGTCGACATGTAACATTTCTGATATTCATTACTTACTGTTTTTATGTAGACCAATTATTATTCCTTATTCTGTAGGTATAAAAGCAGGTGTTTTTAGAAAAACATTTTGTGAATTACTTCAATATTTAATCCGCATTGATTTTGGCGCTGCAGGCGCCCATGAGCGGTGCCGATTGCTTCCATCAGGTGATCCTTCAGATCGATTATTATTTTCTTCCAATAAAAAAAGTTAAATAGTCCTTACCTCTCCGTGAGTATGGACATAACCATCAGGGTTGGCTATAGGTAGAATGATCCAGTCGATATCCTGGATGAGATCCTGCTCGGTGACGTCAATCACCAGCTTATGAATGGCGTAAAGAGTGGCCGGCAGAGTGATCCATTCGCGGGCGTGGAGAAGTGATTCCAAAAACACTATTGGTTTTGTCGAGGTCTGCAAAAATCCAAATCATTATACAGATTAACTGATAGGTATTTATTTTTTTATTTTCGTCTATTTTAGGAGACTGGCAGGCCAAGTTTCAACACAAATGGGCCAATGAGGTAGATTGACTAACAAATTGCATTAATATGAACATCTATTTACCTAGGTAGGCTATGAGACATGAAGTCACGATCACCTAATTGGGTTTTAATTTACCGTCCCTAGACCTGACCGCTGAAGGGTCAGGCAATAGGAAGTAGGAAGACCGACGACCTCGTCAGAGTCGCGGGGAGCCAATGGATGCGAGCGGCGACTTGTCTTTCAGCGTGGAGAACTGAGGGAGCGCCTTTGTCCAGCAGTGGCCAGCTGATGATGATGATGAGGACTAGACGACTTACTGATAATGAATAATGGCTCAGGAGTTATATTTTTCCCCACACAAAACATATAAGCTATTTTTTTTTCTTTTTTAACGTTGCCCCACACTAGGATATTCTCCAGTACTGTGGGTGCATTTATAAATATACAAATTCACATAGGTACACATCACACTCAGACCCGGAACCACAATTTGTGGATCACACGAAGAGTTGTTCCGTGTTTTTAAAAATATTCTTCAAATATTCCAAAATTATTCAACAACAAACAAGTACTTATTAACTTTTTAATCTTAACACATCGTAATCTACTCTTAGAAGATTATAAAGCGCTTACTACTAATTATTATTTATCAGTTTCAAACGTAATTATGACGATTTTAATTACCTTATCACTTGTTATTATCTTGCACGTATTTTTAATACAAATTTGCACGTGCTTTACGTTTGTTTGTTTGTTGAAATCACAACAAACATTAATGTATAGATCTCGATAATGACATTCGTCAAATAATATCTCTCGCGCGGTTTCACCTGCTGCTCGGCTGCTACATATAGTAGTGTGATGTTTTATAGCCTAAAGCCTTCCTTAATAAATGGTTTATTAAACACAAAAATATTTTCAGTATTCAAACCAGTAGTTCCTGATATTAACGCGTTCAAACAAACAAACAAACTCTTCAGCTTTATAATATTATATAATAATATAATATATATAAGTATATACACATTTTGGCGTTGATGAAATTTTCTTTAATTAGAAGGCCTAATTCGAATCTTGAATTAGGCCACTCTAGAAGAATTAAATTAAATCTACTGAGTAAAGGACGCTTCTCCAGCGGAGAAGCGTTTATTTTGTAGATTTCATGAATAGGTAACCCCTAATCAGGTTCAACAACGAAGAGCATAGGGTTGACACAATGTATAAATGGCTTTATAATAAGGTTTCCTTTCAAAAGTTGGAGTCGATAATATTTACATCACTAGCTACTGTCCCGCAGTTTCACCCGCAGCTCGGCTCCTTCATATCGTAGCTTGATGTTTTATAGCCTATAGAACTCCTCGATTAATTGACTAACAAACACAAAAAGAATCCAATTCGAACCAGTAGTTCCGGAGATTAGCGCTTTCAAACAAACTACTAAAGCTTTATGATATTTTATGTAAAACTAGCTCTTACCCGCGGCGTCGCTCCCGTCATTTGACTACCTACCCTACTCTACCTACTCTATCCTATCATATGTCCTTCTCCTGGCTCTTATTTTCAATTTTTACAACTTACCTCAAAATCGCCGCTGGAGATCTTGATGTACTTAATGTCTCTGCCTTCAAAACTCTTGCCAGCATTGACCAGGGTCACAGTTTCTGGGTAAGCTTCAGCCAGCATATCCAGGAAGGTGTCCACCTGGTAAAGGAATACTACTTTAATGGTCGTCAGTTTTAGCCAAGCAAGTTTAAGGTCAAATCATTTTAACCAACATTAAGTGCTTGGAACGTCAAACTAATAGGATATGAAAGATTTTATGGTACAAAAAACGGCCTCACAGAAAACCGGCGTGAAATAACCACAGCGTTGTGTTTCGCCGTGTGAGTGAGATTACCGGAGGCCCAATCCTTCCTCAATTCCTAAATCTCCAAAACCCTAATCCCTAAAAGGTCGGTAACGCACTCGTAACTTCTCCGCTGCGAGTGTCCATGGGCGGCGCTGATTGTTTACCATCAGGTAATCCGTCTGCACGTTTGCCGATAAAAAAAAACATAGGTCTATCATCTGTTCAATCACTTTTATAATATTGTTTTTATATGGACAGCAACCAGAAATGACCAGAAACAGATTAGTCACAGGTTCTTAAAATCCATAAAAAGTGTCTTCTAACCTGATGGTAAGTATAAATCTGGTCAAAGGGTAGAGAATCCAATCTTGAACCATTGTTCTTTCTTGCTGCTTCCGAAAGCAACTGGTCTTCTAAGTCCAGGATACTGTAATAAAAATTGAAGGATATTAAATACACAGCCGGGGTTGCGGGTTAAGCGCAATGAGTCACCGCGGCGTCGGCCCGGAGCAGGAGAAGGAACGGGGTGGGGTTTTTAGTCAGCAAGAGTCTGACACTCTCTCTCGCCTAACCCTGGGCGGGAGAAGACATTTGATGATTTTCCCATGACAAAAAAAAGAGGATATTAAATACAACCTTGACTTATCTCCTAGCTACCACTAAGCCAATAAGGTAATGTTAAGGAGTCTGGTACTAAGCATCCTGTTTTTCCATTCAAGAAATAAGACCAGATATAGGCATGGTTGTAAGCGCAATAATGTGCCACAGGCCCGGGTGCTGGGAAAGGAACGAGGTGGTTTTAAATCAGTAGGAGTCTAACACTCCCTCTTGCTCCATCCAGAGCGAGCGAGAAAGAGATACTCCCCCTTAGAAGTAGACTTTATATTTAGTAGGCGCACCTGTTAGGCAAATGCAAGTAAATAAATAATAAACGTTAACACCAGATATGTCGCGTACGGCGCGTAGCGGTCCGCGCGCGCCACAAAGAGCCAATAGACCACCACAAACGAGGCCCTATAGGGTTGATGCTCAGCCGGGGTTGCGCGGTAAGCGCAATGAGGCACCGCGGCCTCGGCCCAGAGCAGGAGAAGGAACAGTGGGGTTTTAGTTAGTAAGAGTCTGACACTCCCTCCCGTCCGGCCCTTGGCGGGAGAAGTCATTTGATGATTTTCCCCTCACAAAAAAAACACCAGATATGTCGAACCAACCCTCGAGAAAGATACACGAAGCAAGCCCTCTGCCAAGTGCGGGGATATCCACTTTAAAGAAACATCCCCCTTTGTTAAATAAATAAACACAACTTACTCCTTAATATTGTCGGATTCAATTTGGAACTCTACACCAGCAGCTTTGAGTTCATTTTGGAACAGCGGTTTCTTGTCTTTTGGTACGAGGACCTGGCCATCGTGGCCGGGTATCGCATGAGACCAGACATCTAGGTCTAAAGCCTTGCTGAGGTAGTTTACCAGTTCCACTTGATCCGTGGTCTTCACGGATACTTTGTAGAGACCGTAGCTGTAAAAAGAAGAGAGGTTAATTTAAAAAAATATTTTTTCCCCAAACATATAATCAGAAGTACAGATATCGAAGCACAGTAAATGTTTCACGTAATGAAAGTAATCAGTTAGCAAAAAATCTATCAACTAGTCTAACTAAGATCGTCCGCTATTAGGAGCTGATGACAATAGTTCTACGAAAACTATTAAGCATTCATTCGACAAATTGACTTTAGCATTCAGACGACATTAGACAATTTTAGGTACTTTTGAACATCAAATAAAGATTGTCAGTCCGTCGTTTCCTCTAGTGTCTAAGGTATTTCATAAAAGACGTTTGATTCCTATGGAAAAGACCGAGCAAGAAACTCCACGATTAATCTTTTTCAATCAGTTTCACAATCAAATTCTTTGCGACATAATTAATTTGATTCCACTAATATTAAGCCAATGAATCAGAAAAAGAACCTCAAGGCCTATTTATTGGAAGGCAAATGAGGAGATAGATAACCTGATGGTTTTGCGCTGCAAGAGCAGCAGCAGCATTTGGCGCTGAATACGGACAACCGTTACACCATAGGAGTCAAGTTCCTTTTCAACCTTTCAGGGGATACAGAAATATATTTAGGGCAAATTTTTCAAAGATAGGATAAAAGTTACCTGGGGAATAATTATGATGCTGTCGCGTCAGAATTTTTGTATAAGACAGTGACAGCAACAATTTTATTCCTCAGATAACATTAAAAATCAGCCCTTAAATGAATAATTTACTTACCCTTCATACACCTCATGTTTGGCAATTGCCAACCCAATTATAACGAATAAACAAACCGTTCGCAACATTTTTAGGCCTCAAACTGACCAAGTCATTAAAAAAACATATAATAGCCGCTTAACCAATAATCGTTATCAATTTAATCAAATCGATAAATCATTACGAAAGTCGATAAGAGTACAAGATTCATTCAAATCCGTGATATTTATTTAATTTTGTGATAGTAACGTTATCTTCGAAATTATAATGTTACTAGCTTTTGCCCGCGAATCCGTTCGCGTGGGATAGTGACTTCCTGAAGATTTTTGGTATAAAAACTATCCTATATCCTTTCTCGAGTTAAATATATGTCGGTACCAAATTTCACCGAAATCGGTTCAGTAGTGAGATGAGGGCATTAACTACTCTTTGTTCTATTCTCCATACACCCTCTTCACCTTCCTATTTAACTTCATACTTTCAGTATGTGCTCGCAACACAACAAAAATCTCCGTTCTTCTAATAATCGCCTTCTGCACTGCCCTGCCCACCGTTCAGATACTATGCACTCTTCCTTTTTCGTTAAACCCATTCTTCTCTGGAATGAGCTACCTTTGGAGGTCAGGATGGTAAATAGTAGGAACGCTTTCAAATTGAAACTACGAGATCACATTCGGAAGAAATTGGCGGAATCTCCACAATAGTTTTTTTTTTCGACACTTTTTTTCCGTGGAGTATGATAGTATGTACCTATGTATTGTATATGTATACGTATAGTATATGTCTGTGCTATATATATACATATAAGATATATATTATATTAATATTTATGTATGAGCAAATAATTGTTTTTTTTATTCCTTGTTTTTATCAACAGAGATGCACCTACCACTCTTATTTCTCCACCACCCAAAGGTAGACTGGCAGAGAACACTTAAGGCGTTAAGTCCGCCATTGTACTGTGTTAAATAAATAAATAAATACTAGGTAAAAAAAACCAATACCTATGTAAAATTATGAAAAGCAAGTATATTGCTGACTACAATTGGATGATACAAAATTCGTTGAAAAAAGAATTTGCCCCGCTCTATGATTTTTTCCTGTCTTGGGTGCGGTTATTACACATTACAAACATACATTTTCATATTCGAATCGCACCCAGAAATATTCCCAAATCTCCAAATCTCAAATCCTTTACAACCCACAAAGTCCGGCAACGGACTTGTAAACTCTTTTAGTGATGCGGGTACCTATTTGCGGTGCCGATTGCTTACCATCAGTCGGGGTAAAGGTAATTCATTTTAGTTAATATAAGAAAAAATATAAAATCTTAAATTTAAACTCAGCCGTTTCGTTAAACAACTCAATATTGGCCAATTTTTCAGGCTCCTAGTTGAACAGGTAAATAAGCTAGTCGAATGCAAAAGTCACACAACAAAAAACCCAAAACCTTAGTATCACAGTATTTATCGGGAACGTGCGCAAACAAATTAATTAATAATTTAATCTTAAAAGATAACGTTTTGTCACAAATTTATTGACCACCGAACAGTATGGACTGGTATTAGATTTCACATTTGTTTTAAGTCGGCTAACTAGCAAATGGATTACCTGATGTTAAGCAATGAGCACCGCCCATGGACACTCGTCGTACCAAAGTCCATTACTGGCCTCTTGTAGGTTATTAGGGATTTAAGAATACGGGATTGGAGGATGGAGAGGGGGAAGAATTTAGTTAAAAATTCCTGATGTCAGACAACCTGATGACAATCGCAGAGAGACACTGGAAGCAGGTCGCTTCCAAAAAGCCTTAAATGAATTGGATGATACCTTTTTTTGGGAGGTTCAATCATCAAATGACTTCTCCCGTCAAGTTTGAGAGGAGAGAGAGTGTCACACTCTTACTGAGTAAAAATCACCCTGTTCTTTCTCCTGCTCCAAGCCGCTACCATGGTACATTACAGCGCTTTCACCCACAACTCTGGCTGGACAACCAAAGAGACTTTGTAGAGGCATTGCGACCACCTTAACAAGGTTATTTCCTTGTTCATTCAATTAATTAATTACTAGACAAGACTTCAACCGCAATATCTGGGTGAAAAAAGATCTTATATGTTATCTCAGACTAAATATAATCTACTTCTGATGGTTGTCAATCAGCTACGATTCTTGCGGAATTTTCCGCCTCGCACAGAAAAACTTCGGAATGATCTTTTGGCGGAATTAGCAAACCAAAACGACCTTCAAACCTTCAATAAACGTGAGTAGTTGCTTGCTACTCATTTTGAAAAGGCCGGCCTATGAACCCTCTGGTGTTGCAGGTGTCCATGGGCGGCGCTGATCACTTACCAGAATCAGAATCAGAATAATTTATTTGTTAAACATGGGTAGTTTACATAATAAGGTCTTATATATAAATAGTCCACTATGTTTTGCCGTAATAGACATACAAATATATTAGGTACATTAGAAATATCACTAGAAGATTCTTCATCTGAGTAATAACATTTGTTTAATAATAGTTTGCTGAAATTTACTTTTAAATCAGGTGATCCGTCTGCTCGTTTGCCTCCTGTCTTTATATATGAAAATTACGTGTCACGTGTTTATCCGAGGTGGACTCCTAAACTACTAAACCGATTTAAAATTTGATTTGCATTCCGTGTGCATTTTGATCCAACTTGAGAGATAGGATAGCTTACATCTCAATTTATAGTCACAATATTATTTACCTTAGACACAGCAACGCGTGGCTGGGTCTGCTAGTACCGAAATCCATTCAGAAGTTTTTACTCAAAAGAGTAACAACCCTATATCCATCCATCTATACCACAAAACTTTAAAAATAACTTTTAAATCTGTTTTCATTTCAGAGTTGAAATGTTTAATTAGCATTTACAATTAACCACCTACAGAAGGTCAAAATTATAATAGACGAATTTCGTTATCGCCCACCACAATGTCAAACTGTTTGAATCTGGTGTAGAGAATAAAGGCTATTTTAATTTTAATTATTAACTTACCTGATGTGTGGGAAAACAGGTAATCAACAAAAGAATTTCTGAAGCGATAACGATTATGACCTATAGTGAATTTGGCTAGGGGTTCTGATCTTGTAGTAAAAGTATAATAATCCCTTAAAACTAAGATTGCCAAATGTTAGGTAAATAGACATATATACGTACTCACATCACACATCATCAACCCATGAGTGCTCACTTCTAAGCAAAGGCCTCTTCTCACACGGAAAAGGTTTGAGCATTAATCAAAAGGCTTGCTCAGAGCGGATTAGCGATTTCAAACTTTTATTTAGAAATTATAATTGAGGTTTTGTCACGATGTTTTCCTTCACCGTATGTCAGTGGTGTCTTAATGAACTTAGATGGTACATACATATAGTATACAGGTACTTGCCAGGTAAGGACATGCATGAGAAGCGTGCCCCTTTACCTTCGGGCCACCACAGCGTATTATTTATAATATTAAAAACAGTTTACAATATTACCGACTGGTCCCGTAGCTTCATTACGTTATTTCACGCCGCGGTGTTTTTCTGTATCGCCGTGACATCACTCCGCTCATACCTTTGCATTGAAACCAATACGGCTAGTTTTAGTACAGAAGTGGAATACATATTATTTCTTCTAATAATGCTGACTCATACTGCAGAAGAATTCATTTGCAGGATTGTACGTATGTATGTATAATAAACTATGAGTAAAGTATACCGACTAGGTACCAATTATTACGGAATTATTGAATCAACATCATCACCTATAAGCGCCCACTGCTGAGCAAAGGCCTCTTCTCTCATGGAGAAGGTTAGAGCATTAATTACCACGCTTGCTCAATGCGGGTTGGCGATTTCAAACTTATAATTAGAAATTGTACTTAAGTCTAGGTTTTCTCACGATGTTTACCTTCACCGTATGTCAGTGGTGTCTTAACGAACTTAGAAGGTACATGTATCATATGCAAATATGATTCTGAAAGTCACTTTGGTACTTGCCAAGTAAGAACATGCATGAGAAACCTTCGGGCCACCACAGCGTATTATTTATAATATTAAAAACAGTTTACAATATTACCGACTGGTCCTGTAGCTTCATTACGTTATTTCACGCCGTTTTATACCTTTGCATTGAAGTACATAAGTGGAATACATACTTTTTCTTTTAATAATGCTGGTTCATACTGCAGAAGAATCCATTTGTATGTTATATATACCTACGTTATATCAAATTACGAGTAATACTTACAATCCACTATTTATTATGTAATTATTGAATGAAAACCACTTATTATTGTGTCAGCCATACTTGTTGTATTTTAACTGACATTTTAAATTAAAGCACAACAAAGAAACATTTGTTTTCTAGGGTATAAGGTAAATGAGCATAAAGGGTTTTTTTGTGTGGGGAAAATCATCAAATGACTTCTCCCGCCCAGGGCAGGGCGGGAGGGAGTGTCAGACTCTTACTGACTAAAAACCCCCCAGCTCCTTCTCCTGCTCTGGGCCAAGGTCGCAGTGCCTCATTGCGCTTACCCCGCAACCCCGGCTGAACATCAGCTCTATAGGGCCCCGTCTGTGGTGGTATATTGGCTCTTTGAACTCTTCGACTGACGACGCGCCATACTTTCGAAATGAGCATATAGGTTTGGCTTAACAAAACAGGTATGGAACGACACTTGCTTTTCATTGTGAGTAGTGAGGTTTCCGGAGGCACAAACCCTGACCCCCTATCCCATCCTCAATTACCCCAATCCACAACATAATTGACGTAGTGGCTGATCAAGTGGCTGCCAAGCAACGTATAGTAGCGCTGGGCAGGTACGATTCCCGCACGGAACAACTCTTTGTGTGATCCACAAATTGTTGTACTGGGTCTGGGTGTGAGTTGTATGTGAATTTGAATGTTTTTCAACCCACGACACAGGAGAACATCCTGGTGTTTAGCAACCTTTACCTTTTTTTCTGTGCCCAGCTTTTGCTAAGCTGGCGACCCATTCGAATTGAGCATGTCCGCCAACCCCGGTTACTGTTATCGTCTGTCAGTTTTAAGGTTATTGTTTTGATTAATTTTATTTTCATTTTATTTTGTTGTCATGTTTTTCAAACTTTTT